AGACTCAGAAATGAGGATATCCGCAGTAAAACCAGAGTGACCGACATAGCCCAACGGATTAGTAAGCTGAAGTGGCAATGGGCCGGCCATATAGCTCGAAGAACCGATAACCGATGGGGAAGAAAGGTTCTCGAGGGGCAGCCTCGTACCGGTAGGCGTAGTGTAGGGCGACCCCCCCACTAGATGGAGTGACGACCTGGTAAGATATGCAGGAAGTCGATGGATGCAGGTGGCTCAGGACCGTGCTTTGTGGCATTACTTGGGGGAGGCCTATGTTCAGCAGTGGACTTGTGAAGGGCTGTAATGATGATGATGATGACTTTACGTGGTAAAGTCACGGTGTAGCAATAATGGTTGTAGTACGAACGCTCTCATAGAATATCAGCGTAAAATAGCAGCTTAAGAGCCCTCTTACATTTCGGCGTTACACAAATTTAGGTATTATAGACTCCGAGCTGGCGATGAGCTACTCCAGCGATATTTTATTTCATATTCACTCGCTCGCACTATAGTACGTTGTATGCGTATAGCGACTAAACGATCTTCACCTTTCATAATACAAGTTTTCTTAGGATGGAGTTCAGTGGATGGAAAATTTTTGGTGTGTCATTTTTGTGTTATCTAATTAAGTTATTATAATCTATTTGATATATTTTTCGTTCCTTACCTTAGTGTTGAAATAAGTACACATAAATATTTTAATTGTTTCATTGTAACCGATTGTTAACTGATGTTGGTTAATAATTGATTATATATATATTAATGGTAGCATAGTAGTATAAATAAAAAAATAGTACGGTTGCAACTTGTTTTAATAAATAAAATAATCTTTATTAACCTAAGTGTTGAAATAAGTACATATAAATATTTTAATTGTTTCACTGTAACCGATTGTTAACCGATGTTGGTTAATAATTGATTATATCTATTAACGGTTGCATAGTGGTATAAATAAATAAATAGATCAGTTGCAACCTGTTTTAATAAATAAAATAACCAACTGTAACTAATATTTTTTTAATCGGTACTAACTCCGAAGGACCATTAAACAGGATCCTTAACGCTGGTTGTCACTGCAGTAATCCGGCGAGTCTTCCAGTTCCTAACTCGTCGATCTCTCCCCTTGCCTGAGCCATACTACGTTGGGTTTGAAACAACACAATGGGCGTATCTTTCGATAACGTCTGTTTCAGAAACACACTGGCCTGATCTTAAAAGGTAGTTAATGCCTGAGATTACGGGTCCACGTTTGGTTCCGGTCTAGACACCAAATATGTGGACTGTATAATAACTTTACTATTCCTAAGTTCTTGAGAAATGTGATAACTGTTGCTTACCCGTTGGAGATGTCGAAGATAGAACGAACCGAAGAAGTCGAAACTTTGCCGTTGTTGTTTTGCAAGTAGTAGTGTTTCTTCTCCTTTACGTCCCCCTTCTGGGGACAGGAGGCCCTGCAGGTACCGAGGCATTCCTCTCTACCTGGGCGTCATTGCGGGGGGGGGGGGCACGGCTCCCCCATTATTGGGTGCTCCTACGCAGCTTGCTAGCCGAGGTGTTGCGCACTACACGGTACACGCCATCAAGCCAGTACGACATCGTCTTCCTAGTCCTCCAGGCGGCCTTGAAGTGTGGGCATGTCATTAGTATAAACCGCGTACAGGTGGGGTGATAGGCAGTTGCCCTGCGGTACTCCCGCTTTAATCGGTCGTGCTACCGAGACAGCCTCCTCGATGCAGCAGAAACATAGAAGCTCCGCCCCTCCAGGAACGGCGTTATTAGCCACACAAGCATAGGTGGCACGGTGGTGTTCTCTATCAGTTTGTGAAGTAGCCCTGCGTGCCACACTTTGTCGAGCCGGGTACCTCCTGTCCTTACCCGGCTTTGGTAGCACGACAATCTTGCACTGTTTCGAGTTTATTGGGAAGCGGCCAGTTCTTAACACGCCGTTGAAAAGTCTGGTCACCTCCACAATCCCCCATTCTGGGCAGCTGCTTTGAGGCCACGGTGGTGATCCCGTCGCATCCCGGCGCTTCGCGGTTTGGTAGGCGCATGATAGCGCGCCTTACCTCCGCTGGCGAGATGAAATCATCACCCCGCAGTAGCGGCGCCGGGTTCGACAGGTATTCCCGTACGCGGTTCACTACACTTTCAGTGTGCACTGCGTACCCCTCTGCAATGGTATTCGGTTTAAACTGTAATTCGAAGTGTTGTGCCATCATTTCCGCCCTCTGCTGGGCGTCGTATATGCTTTTCCCCGTGCTGTCCACAAGTGGGCAAACATTTTGGTGAGCTGCCGGTTGAGAAGACGCAGGGAGGCGGGTGTCTCCGAGGCTTCGTCGAATCGCCTCTCCCATGCCTCCCCCTGTGCGCTCTTATCGCCACCGAGAGCTCTTTGGTTATCTTGTTTAATTTGGCTCTAAATCGTGGACACCGTGTTCGTGCCCAGACCTTTTTTAGCTTCCGCTTTTCGGTGAACTGCAGCTGTAGTTTGTGTGGCAGTTCTTTCCCTCGGCGCCCTGTGGAGACAGGGTATGAGGTGAGTTCTAATTGCTTGGTTAGTGCGGAGTGCAGAAGTAGTGCCGCTGTCTTCAAATCTTCCTGGGTGGTAATGGAGGCGCCGAGTCGTAGGTCTTCCAGCGCTTTGCGGAAGCGTGTCCAGTTGTTCCGCATTTTTGGACCTCTGGGCACTACGGCTTCCGCATTGGTGTTTATGGTGAACAACACGGGTAGGTGATGCGTGTCCAGATCATAAGCACCTCGAGCCGTATTCTGTACTGCATTTGATGGCACAACACAATGTCGAGGACATCGGGTTGGTGGATGGGATTTAAAGGGAAGTGTGTGTGGGGTCATCTGGACTCTTCGGGGTCTTAGTAGAGTTTTCTGTCAGGAGGAGTGATTATCGGGGAGCCCCAAGCAGGATGTTTTGCGTTGAGGACTCCGGCGATAATTGCAGGTGTTATTGCATTAAATATAGTTCATAGATCTTGGGGGGCTAACGTGGGACCGGGAGGTCAGTAGGCGGCGAAGAACCTCATATACGTGGTTCTCACCCTCTTCCTTATACCCTTTGTCCTCGTGGATACGTATCGTGTATTGTATCAACTTCTTCGTGCATGACGTCCCTTCTCACAAGGACCGCAGTACTTCTGTTCGCGATACCTTCTGGGGAGATCTCGTCGTGGCAATACATGAAGAAGTTGGGGAGCTTCAGTTTAGCAGAGGGGTGCAGTTTTGTCTCCCCCAGCAGCACAACCTGGACTTTGTGCTGCTGGACCAACGTGCGCAGGTCGGCGACCTTCCCTGATATGCTGCCGGGGTTCCAGTAGCAGATTTTAAGTTCTTTGCCCTCTGCTTATGGTCAACAGTTGGCCTCAGGCGGTGAGAATCGCCGAGAATGGATTGGCACCTGTGGTCATTGCTGTAAGGACTTCACCCAGAATTTTTATGACCACTCCCACCAACTGTGCGAAGGCCTCTTCGATGGTGGATGGTGCCTGATTCTGGGTTTGCTGTTGGTGTGTCTCTGTTTGAATCTGTCTTTGGGGTGGTTCTCGGGGTTGGTGGGTAGTGGTTTGCACTCTCTGGATGGGGGCAGGGAAGGTCGCATAGCGCAGCTGCCTATGGCTGCTGCTACGTGGTGGAATGGGAAGGAAGTAGAGTGGACGTGCCTGCTGCTGCGTCCAGTGTGGCCGCCTTCTTCTTCTTCTTCCTCCCTTTCCGCTTTCGCTTCTGACGCATTGTGCACTCAATGGGGTCGTTAGCCGGTGATGTCAAGGTCACCCCGGTTATGACGATTGTTGTTGCCAGGGCGGGTGTGGGTATGTGTTGTTGCTGCGGTTGCTGCGGCTGCTGCGTCCGCTGCGGTTGGGGCTGTATTTGCGGTGGTGGTGGATGAGATTGGCGTTGTGGGGTCCGTGCTGCCTGCGCAGGCATGGGAGGCTGTAGGACTATGCCCCTCTTGCGCGCAATACGCTGCAGCATTGGGCACCGCCTGTCGTTGCCGCGTGAGCCTTGGTGCAGTTGGCGCAATTCGGCTGTTCATCACGCGGCTTTCGGCACTCCGATGCGGCGTGATCTCCTGCGTAGCGGACGCATTTGACTGATCGATAGCAATTATACGATGCATGCCCCAACCCCTGGCATCTGTGGCACTGAGGAGGGCCAGCTCTACCTTACCAGCTCTCTATGGAGACACCGGGCATGTAGAGTAGATCGTCGATGGCATAAAGACGTTTTAGTTTTTCAGGGGAGAGGTGGTACATCTTTACGCGAAAGAGACAGCAGGACTGTCTCTTTTAGGTGGTATCGAGAGCACAAAGGTCCGGAGGAAGCCCTTCTCAATAAGGGCCTCCATTATGTCTTTGGGGTCGGTGTTCGTGGGAAGCCCTCTAAACCCTACCTTCGTCGGTTGCTCTTCTTGTGGAGCCTAGCAATACCACGCGAAGGTGGCATCCTCTTTGCTACACTCGACCAAGTACTTTTGAACTACATATATGATATTCATTATCGGATTGTGGTCGGATTTAGTATCGAAATGGGCGGGCGTTCAAAGCATGGCCAAGGAATTGATGTAGGAATTTAAAATACCTCGCCCAATTTGGGAAGCATTCAACTATGATTGGGGGATATTTTATTTGTGCGGTTGCAGGCTGCTGTAGCCTTGGAGCAGGTGTTGGTGTTGGTGAAGGTGGGTGTGATCTCGGTGCGGCTGCTACCTACGCATATACCAGCTGCCCGCCGCCAAGGATGGTCAAGGAGTAGGCTCAAATTGAATTTCTTCTTGCATAAGGGCAATTGTGGCGTATGACGTGTTGTCAAAGGCTTTCTCCCCTTCTGGATCCTGCTCCCCGAAATCCTGTATTTCAGTTTGCCTACCGGTCGGGGAGGTGGTTGGGGATGGTGAATCCGATGGCGAGTTGTGTCTCGTCACCGGCTGTTTTTGTGGAGGAGATGGTGAAGTAGCAGAGGTGGTAGCCGAGGTAGAAGGCGATGCCGATTCAGCCCTCAGCCTTTTCTCTTCTTGCAGTTGGTCTGCGTCGATTTCGGGTGGTGTACGTCTCCGCGAGGCTACGCTCCTGAGCTTCATTAGCGCCGAGCGCGGCGCCATGGGCCGGTGAGCTCCCTTTTCTCCTCGGGATTTGGCCAAGTGAGGGCAATACTCGTGACGTCTCTGGAGCAAAGAGATCACGCTCCATGAGAGGCCTATCGGGCACGCCCAGGCGCCTATCGGGTGGTTTTCGGCGCGGTGGGGGTTGTTCCTCCTTGTTCGACATTAGGAAGCACTATTTAGTTGGAATTCAATGCACTATTTGCCCTTTTAGCAATCACACACCTTACTCCCCTCGGCGCGTGCAACCACACAGGGTGAGACACTTGGAGGAGGCCCAGCAAGGTGCCCGCGAGCGGGGAGGGGTGTGTGAGCCGCAGATGGATTGGGCGTTCACTCAATGGCACTTTGTTAACACTTTTATAAAAAATAAAAAGTTAATATAAACGTCGGGTAGTTTGTCACAAAGCAGGGCAACAAAGGTTGTGTACTTTGTGCTTCACTGACCTTACAATCCGTCGCGGAGAATGCCAGCGACACCTCGACGCCTCACGGAGTGAGCTCGACGTTCGGCGGAGTCCTCAACTGGCAACACGTTTACTACATTATACACGTATACGTACACTAACACTATAGCATGGGAGCGCGATTAGGCACGTCCGTTCGTTAGCACGGTGGCCGATGTAAGCGCGTACCAGGCTGGCGCTGCGTAGGTTAATCGTGAGTGAACGTAGGTCTTGTAGATGGTGATTTAGATCAGCATTATCCCACATTATTATACAATTCACCCGTAGGTACGATTGAAATGTTAAGCTGCCTAAATACTTTGTTTTTGTACACAAACAGATGACAAAAATTATTAAAGGTTTTTTCATAGTCCACATATGCAAGGCAAACTGGCAGAATGTACTCTTCGGTAAAACAAATTACTTTTGGATATTATCTAAAAATACGTACCTATTATTTTTCTTTACATATTAACAGAAAACAGTGATTTTAAAGTAATTACACTGATTTTTTTATAACCCACCTACCTACAATATTTGACTTTTAATGAAGTCGTGGCGCTGAGGGAACGAAAAAGTTGTACTTCTATACATGACCGCGGCGTCGAAAAGGTTAAGTAATTCTACAACTTTTAGGAATATCCGTAATATGGTTTATCCATTGCTAATCTAACTAAAACAAAGATAAAAAAAAGACGTGTGGCACTCGGGGACTGCCGCGGTAAAGCTATTGCATAGCATTTTGTATCAACTTATGCAATTATAATTATTTATTTATTTTATTTATGCAGTATTTCTTTTTTTTTTGATATTAATTCAAGTTACTTAGGTTAATCCAATCAAATTCAACCAGATTTAACCGAACCCGCGTTATAACGAACTCACTATTTGTGAAAAATACTGTATCACCGGACCGCGTCGCAAAAAACTCAGGTTCGCGCAGTACATACGTCAGGGCGGCCGTACGGCAATTATATTAACAAGACGCGCAACTACTCAGTTCCACGCTCCACGGCAAGATTTGTCACTTATTATTTATTGTCCAATTAATTGTCTTTAAGTTCAAATGGCACGCTCTATTAACATAAGTCTAAGACAAAACAAGGAGACTTTCAATATATGAACAACTATATTTTTCTGTTGTTTTAAACTGTTATAATATATTATAACAGTTTTAAATATTACATTGTACACGCGGTTAGTTCAGTTCAGTCGTCGGCTGTGTTCGCGTTTTGTTTAACGAAAAATAAACAAAAACAACAATAGCTTTTTCACGTAATATGGGGATCTGCTATCAACACATTACGTATATAATTTAACAGATAACAGTGTCATTGTCATCTCAGCTAGACAGCTAACTGAACACTAAACTGATATATTATATATTACAACAGCCAAATTAAATAACAGGCACAACAGGCAACTAATGGAGGAAATAATATATTTTTGTTTACCGTTATAATTTAGTGTTAGTAAAATAAGCTCTTATTAAGTTAACTTAGAGTTTAAATTAGTGTAAGCTATACGCAATCCTTGTGGCATAATGAATGTAGGTAGTATTTTATTGACTCCCATTGTCTCGGCCGACGCGACGGTTGGACCGTAAACGTAAACAGATGACGCTCTCTAACGATAATGAATATAATATTATAACAGTCAATGGTTCTTTATTCTAATGTGTTGTAAGATTAAAAATATATAATGAAATATATTATCTGTTGTATGTTATAACGCCCAACTTTAGGGGTGACCGACCGCGCGCACAAATGCAGCTAGCCTCCCCCTCCCGCACCTCACCAATCGTCGCTTCACACCGCTTGAGATAAGACGATCTACTATCAGGCGCTAACAAACCCCCGTCCCGGACATAAGGACCTATGTCCGCGAGTAAATTGGCAATTAGAAGACGCTTTGTATTGTTGGTTTTTACAAAAACGATCAACTGGGCAAATGATATCTGGCCCTTTTCTTTGTGAAAAAGCATTACAGTTAAATAAAAAATTAGGTGACGGCGGCTCGTTTGTCGCAAGTAACGGATGGTTATATAGATTTATATCTCTTCATAGAATTTAATCAATGTTTATTAAAAAATAATAATTTCTTAATAAACATTGATTTTCGTTGAAATTGTTGTTTTTAATAAACACATAACATTATGTATGTACTTATGTATCTACAAATGCACAAAACCCGCTTTTCTTCATACATTCGATCATCCGGATTTTCGATTATCCGAATCCCTAACGGCAACAATTAGTCCGGTTAATCGAGTATATATATACATATTGAGAATCTAAATTGAGAATTTAAACTATACGCGTGTGTGTGTTTGTGTGTATATAAAGAGGGCTACTTTTAATATCGCTCATTTTAATATCAAAAATTTAGGTTATCTTTATAGCAGTATTATATTTTCAATTCAAAATTAGTACTGCATTTGTGATAATAATAAAATGTAGGTATGTATATAGAATACTCACTCATTTTCTTTCACTATTTTTTTCGTGACTTTCTTTATTAATAATAAATGCACTTTGTTCATTCATATTCAAAATTTCAAAACACTTTATACACAAACACCGTGTCGAAGACTGAGGAAAAGAAACGACGTTAGACCATCGTTAGACAATGCACGGCCTTCAAGCTACACCTCCGTGCCCGTCGGAGAGCGTGAGGTTTTTTTCGTTACGAAATTTCTGGATTTTCCCGCACTGAAGGCCCACGATAGAAGCTATGCAATAGCTTAAAAGAAATATTAATCTTTACACTTTTCTAACAATTTTACTTCTCCGCCATGGGATGTGTCAATTATTTCAAAAGCGGCGCCGCATGCGTGGCGTGGCAGAAAATATTTTGTTTACAACTCATTTGTTGTTGTTACTCATTAGTTGTTAACTCATTGACATCAGTATCATACGTTTTTATTAACAGACGATGTTTTGTTAATTTATAAACATAGGTGATTAAAGAAATTACGGACATTATAGTACATTATTGTATTTTAATCTATGTAATCAACAGTCAAGGAAAATTGTAAACAATCTTTGATTGGATTTAACATATCAATTGTTTTTGATATAAAATGAAACATTTCATGTTTCCAATGGCCTTAAGGTCGTGTTTCTTCGTATATTTAACTCTTAAATAATAAAGAAAAATATTCTATTTATTAAATGTTATAACCTACTCAATTATTTGTATATTCTTTGATGAAAACGATACATAGAAGTTTACTACTAGAAAGGCAATTAAGAAAAAACTGTGGTACAAACAAAGCAGTGGAACAGAATACGTAATAGTACTACGTAGCAGTGGATCGCGCAGGCGCCCCTGCGTGGATAGCCGGCACGGTAAATATACCAGGAAGTTGTATTTTCATTTGCGACAGTTACTGGTTTTAGATAATTAAGAAATGATGTTACATAGTTATTTTAAATAAACTTCGAATCACGTTGAGAAAGTGCGAACATAAACAATGAGAGCGATTATTCAGTATTTCTTAGTCACAATAATCAAAACTATTCTTGTCAAAAACAACATTTGCGGCTCACAAGATAAAGAACTAGTTTTCTCGCCCGCTCGCAGTCGACTAAAGGAGTTATGGAGAAATTACAGTAACGTATTAACCATGCGCAATATATTTAGGCCGAAAAGAAAAGCCAGTCTAGTAAGTAGTATACAGTGTGTAAGTGTAAACACCGTTGTCACTGAAACCATAGGTGGTTGGCTTTAATATAAAAATATTTATCCGATTTTTAAAAAAAAAAACGCTATTTTCTTTTATTAAAAATTAAAAAAGTTTCTGTCCGACACCGTCCGTAAATTCATGGATACCCTATGCGCTCGAGTGACGTAATCACTGTAAAGATCACCGCCCGCCCTTGCTACCTACACAACATTTCAATATAAACACAATGGTACACATAACCTATCATGAAACTTTTCCTTCATACTTTCACACTTGCTTAGGACAGATAAAAATTCCAACCCTTTGAGTTGCGTGACGAGTCCAAATTAATGTAAGTTAGATTTAACAACAAAGAAAATTAAACATTACTAATAGTAAATCATTAGGTAGGATTTTTGGCGTATTTACCGTATACCGTACCGCGGCCCTGGAACGCAAAGGGCATTTGAAGCATAAGCTGACCGTTCATTGTACGGAAAGATCATACAAAGCGAGGCCAAGACAAAGGATTTGTACAGCTTGATGTGTAGCCTGATTGATTGGTTATTTACACTTACCTATTAAATAAAATCCTCGTAAATGAATTCCATTTTGATCAGCTTTTACATTAATCGTAAAAGCTAGAAGCACAACAGTGTCATTTCTCTAAATACACTAAGAATTCGCCTTTTGAGTTCGGACGTATTACGGAACTAGTTGCATACACTCGGCGCTTCACTTCTCCCCAAAGATAAAAGTCCAGCGGGGTAAGGTCGGTTCATCGCCCAGGAAACTCCTCACCAGCATAGCCCTTAGAAAATGTGCAGGTGCACCGTCATGTTGGTAGTAGAGGTTTCTCAGTGAACGAAGAGGCACATTTCCACTGCACGTTTATGTAGGACATAATTACAAATTAAATACACTCGCACCAAAACTACAACCTAAAGCGACGTAGAATGTCGGCACTGCGCGGCGCGATTTTAAATCAAATTAACACGTACATTCCGTACCGACGCAGCGAAGGTGACTGACACACTGACATTGGCCTTGACCGCGAATCGCTGCCGCTACCTACGATATGTTGAGTTTTTTGTTGTGAATTCTGTAGGTATATCCCTACTTGCCTATGGTGAAATAATTGTAAGAAAAAATTGAGATTTGACTTAAAAAAAAATGTTGTTATTTTTCATTGAAATTACTTTCTATAAGTGAAACCAAACCACTGATTTCAAGGACAACGGTGTTTACACTAACACCCTGTATACATAGAAGTGTTTGTTCTTTGACTTAAGTACAAAAGCCACAAATACAATCAAATACTTAAACTTTATAATGCTCATGTATTTTATTGTATTTTTGGTGATTAATAAAACAATAATATGTATATAAATAATTTTTCTGTTCTATAATACTGATTTTTTTCTCTATTTTAAATTAATATAACTTATATAATAAATAATAACTACTATTTTCAATTTATTTTCAGTTTCATTGCAATTTGTTTTGTTTTCTGAGGCACGTCTTCTTTATCAAGATGTTTCATATAAGCGAGGAAGCAGGTCCACATGAGGCTGCAAACACTAATGAAGGGGACTCTATTCTTTGGAGGAATAAAACAAAAATTAACTAAAGCCACAACTGGCCATATTGATGCACCAACCTGAAACAAAAAATATAAGTGTTATACTACTCGAGCGGTTAAAGAATGGGACTGAAAATGGCGTCGCCCCTATTTATCTCTCGCTCACACACTATCGCTATCTATACTCACACCCGTCGGTAGATTACAAAAAAAAATTGTTGTGATTTGCGTTTTTCGTAAGTGCTATACCGTCAGTCCGATTTGTCATTGGCATAAATGGTAGCAAAATGCCATAAACGAAAAAAATTAACCCGGTTTCACAGACGCTTTTTGAGAGTTTTTTTAAATAATTATTGTCGTATTTTGTAAATACTTTGGTTATGTCGCTGTTATTGTTTTTGTTTATTATTTATTGTAAAGCGTTGCTAGTTATTTCGTTTTTGTTGAATAAACATAAACACTCACGCCTGTCACCCAGAGGGGTAAGCAGAGACTACGGACTTCCATTTGGCACGATCCTGACGTACCTCTTTCGCCTCCTTTACATCCATATATCTACGCATACATGCTCGTCGGTTAAGGGTACTTCTAACGTGGCCCATTTTCAAAATATCGCCAATTTGGTCGATAAACTTTTTTCTAGGGCGTCCCTTCCCGAGTCTGCCGTTCACATCTGCCATATAAATTTGCTTTGTCACTCTTTCCTCATTCATTCTTTCTACATGACCAAACCACCGAAGCATTCCTTTCTTAATCCTGGTCACAACATCATCTTGCAAACCACACTCTTCTCTTATTACACAATTTCTTACCCTGTCATTCAGATTCAGCCCTAACATACTCCTTAAAGACCGCATTTCTACAGCATTTATTCTACTTTCGTGCTTCTTCTGCCACGCCCAGCTTTCACTACCATACATTAAAGTAGGGACTAACACAGCATTATGAATTACCATACGTGCCTTTTTTAACACATTCTGGTTCTTCATAATAGAGTGTAGTGCCCCATTCACTCTATTCCCTGCATTTACTCGTCGTTCTATATCCTTATCATATCTATCATCCCTGCTAAATACACATCCCAAATACACATACTCATCCACTTGCTCAATTTGTTGAATACTACGTTATTTTGTGTTTTTCTTTTATTATTTTATCTACATTCTGTTAACATGGAAGCATAAACACGGGAAATTACTATATATTGCTACACATAAAATTGTATATAACGTAATAAAGTATTTTGAGGAAGAGAAAAATCTGGAACGTTATCACACATTGCAATATAGTAATACATGGCCAGGTATGGCAACGCGAGCGATCTGCTGGAATTTTAAAAAAGATGGTGTGTACCAAGTTTATCTAGTAGCTATACATTTGTTTATAATTAATGATTCGAACAAAATATATTGTACTTGCTACTCAATATTCGTTATTTCAAGCATTGTCCTTTCTTAGGATTCCATACCCAAAGTGTACCCCGTTTAGTTGTATCCTATTAAAGTCCACCTCCCCGATAGATTGGCTCGTATGGGGGATTTTGCCATAGTTGCCACACTTCGCAATCAGTTTGGGAACCACGGTTTTTTTTTTAAATTTAAGTCGTTATTAGGAAGATGCTGCTGCCCATCTTCTGATTTGTTTCCCTCTGTCACCTCTTACGACACCCACGTGGTGATATGGGATAGTAGATATCTTCACACTGCCACTACTCGGCGGAGTGTTCAACGGAACCCCTTTACTAAGTCTGTCTGTCTCTTTATCGCAGGGCTGTAACTTTTAATTATTAGTAATTATAATGGTCACTTTAATGGCAAATAATGAAACGAATACAATGTTGAAATCCAAGAGGGTTTTTACATAAGAAATCTCGAAAAAAAATTTTTCCAGCGATTTGGTTGTTCTTTTTCTTCTTGTATCTTAAAAATGGTAAAACCATCATTAAATCTAATTTTTTTTCTAATTAATACTATAATAATACTAAATACTCTATACTTAAATAACAAATAATGAAAACAAGATAAACAGGGATAGACTTGGTGGCACGGAAGTTTCAGAAACTGGAGTTTTGAAGGGAGCAGAGTCGATTTTTAAGGCCAAAACCCAAAAAGGCCATTACCATTACGAAATCAATAGGCAAAATTTTTCTAAATATATTGAGGAAAAATTAATCCCAAACATACTTCCAAATAGCATCGTGGCTGAACAGCGATTGTGAAAGCGATAGCTGCTCCGATTCTAACAATGATTATGAAGATAACTATCCAGAATCGAAGTGTTCTCAGACGATTCTGGTGAAGGTTCAAGTAGCAGAATTTAATTTTCAAAGATTACTACTACATGTAAAAAATAAGTCTATAGAGCTACGGTTACGTTATACGTGGTATAGCCATGCTGCAGCTATATTAGTAGTATAGCTATAGCACGAATGAGTCGGCTCCACTAAGGAAGGAACACGCTCTCATAGAATACCAGCGTAAAATAGCAGCAGAGAATCGAAGACCCATTTTGCTGGAATCTTATCCAGGGAAGCCAGTGCGGGTCACTGGTTATAAATGTAATTTTAAAATTAATGTGTCTGCTAGTGTATATAATTCTATTCAAATATTTTCACATTAATAGAAAATTCCCAACTAGTCGAATAATATACCTAACGTTTTAATTAACCCGCTAATAACGATATACCGTTATTAGCGAGTTTTCGTTATTTGTATTGTGCATGTTGACGGTACGGGCACGATGAGCCGCCATATACAATCCCTTTCTTTATCCGTTCGGACTATAGTTTTAACCTGATTTCTTACACAATATCAGCGTGAAACAGCAGAATAATGATCCTTTTTAGCTTTTAATTTCAAAATGCGAGGTGGTAATACATTATTTAAGCGAGTGAGTGAGTGAGTTTTCTGTGCACGCACTCATTCGTAAGGGTCGATCGGTAAGCAAAAACGTTGTTGCCCATAAAGTAGAAGCCTTATATAAACAAAAAACAAAATAACCCGTATATAATTATATATTATGCATTCCATCTCATTCCTCAGGGGTGAAAACGCATCTGCATTTTGATTCTTAATTGAGGATAAATGTAAATATCTATGGACCACAGCAACCGCTTACCATAAGGTAGGTAGACCACAAATTTAGTATAAATAGATCTATGAGGTAGATTACGTGTTCGTATGTGACCCTTATTATGTAAAAAATAATCTTCTGACCCTGCAGACCATCCCTGGAACTTCGCGCTATGTTCGATCTCAAAACGCTCGACAAATATTTTTACGAACTTATAGATGACTCATTATTCCAAAAACGATCCGAGAAGAAATTGCGAAGTTATTAAAAAAACCTGTTTTGAAATTTTCTGAAATTCATTCTAACCAGGTTAAAGGATTCGTTCTGGCTCTCAATACTCAAATTGCTAAACATTTACAAATAATCAATGCAATATTATCTACCATTTATTAGTATATTAATATAAGTATTGTAGCGGTGTTCTATAGAACGAAAAAACACAAACGCCACAAAACAATAGAACAAACGTTTTATTGTCCAAAATTGACACAACTAAAGGAAAACGTTACAAATAGGTTCAATTATAATTAACTATCTAGGCTTAAAATAATTATGAGAAATTATGGTTGCTTGCAAGTTCAGACATTTTTATTATATTACTTGAGTGAGCAACTGCGCAGAATAATAATAATCATAAATGTTTTAATAACTGGTTCGAGCGAATGGGAAAGTGTATTAACCAAGCCATGCGCACTTTTGATCGTACAATACCATCCTTCCGTCCGCCAAGTAGTGCGCTAATTAGATCAGAATTATGTAAACGTGTGTACCTATGAAAAAACTATTTTTTCGTTTTAAACAAAACCAAAGACACTATGCAATAGATAATAGTATCAAAGACAAAGATATGCTCTTTTATTTTAAACCATAACCTGGCAATGTTTCTTAGAAAAAAAAAAGAAATCACTCTGAACTTTCGGCGTTCCACGTGTCGTTTTGATGAAAGTGCTCCGTCTTTTTTATAGAATTTTATATTTGTGTCTGGACTAAAAACGAAAGTGTTATACTTTTTTATATTCCTTGTAATATAGTAAACACGTAGATATATAATTTGTGGTATAAAAAGTGAAAAGTAAATTGCCAAAAGAAGTACTTCAAAATCCGGAAGCTCCATTTTGGCGGTTGGGTCATAAATGTGTTATTTTCCAAATTCTCATTTATTTTTAGTGTAAAATGTAAGTAAAAATAGTTTTCTTACATATTTCAAATAACTTGACGTTGTATTTATTTCAAATTCACACAAAAATATGTTTGAAATATTGTTCGAAATGTCATACAGATAAAATATTATTATTATTTTTTTTAATTTTTTAATATTTTGGTATGAGTAACGAATGGAAAAACATAAAACATAAAAATATACATATTTCCAAACATTTTCATATAAATTTCTCTAAAAACAAAAGTGTAGAATTCAAATTAGTAGTAATTTTGTCACTAAAATTGAAGTATATACTTCTACTATGCTATATAGGGTAATTTACGTATTTTATTACAATTTCTAGCAACCAAAAATAATTTTATTCGATAGTTTATACATTCAACAAGAATTCCTGTAAGTTTTATCCATAAATATTGTCTCAAAGTGAAAATATAGCAAAATTTGCAATATAGCAAAAAATTTGCTAATTTGCAAATTTTCCCGCCATTACGGTCCCGAGCGAACGGGAGTATAACATGTCGCGCGCTCGCTTGGCGAACAGGTTAAACTACGCGGTAAATACTTTGAAAAACAATAATTGAAGACATGTCTCGTATTGTGGAAATGGTCTTCTATTAATTTTTTCGCTAAGGCTAAAGGTTAAATATTTTTTTATTAGATTTGGTGTTAAAGATTGAGTCAGGCTCTTTTAGAGTTATCAAGTTGTACAACATGGAAGGGGGCACGGTTGGTTCTCTTGAAGAAGGAAAGCAAGGCTACCGATTATCCCTCTGCATAGCGCCAATCTCGTCCAATAGACATAATGGGAATATCATAAATTGGCAAATTGTTCGAGAGAATAGCTGCCGCTTGGCTCAATAGGCACCTGTCGCGCGTCGATTTCGATTTGGCTGAAAGTCAATTTGGGTTGTTTTGGCTTTAATTTGGTTTGGATGATAAAGTATTCTACTGTAGACACTATTATGCGTGTCGTCCTTGTTCACTTCGAGCGCCTAATCCCCCGAATTAGAAGAGTAGCTGGTGCTAATGAATAGACTGCTGCCCAATATAGGGACATTGATTGAGAAAGTTCGTCACCTCTATGAGAAAGTGATAACCTTGTACTGGGCGCCTGTACAAGCGAAAAGGCTGGCATTTCGACGCTGTATAACTCAAAACTACAGAGTCACGCGGGGAAGTCATGCAGTGCGGCCAGTTATCCGCCAGAGCGGTAGAGTGTGCCAGATAAGGCGTTCAAACGAGATTAGTATAAAGCTAAAACACATTAACGACGAATATAAATGAATATACGTTAAAAAAGTTTACCCATATCAAATTTCGTAATGTCTATTTATACAAATTGTATGTGTAAAAATGATCTAATAATTGATGATACAAAATTACTTTTATTTCTTCTTTCTTTACATAATTTACAACTCTAAAGATCTAACAAATGAACTAATCTTGAGGTTAAGCAAAGTTTAATTGATGATTAAAGAACTTATCTTACGCGGCATTCTATCATAATTATACGAGAACTTCGTCTTAAGAGACGACCTTCCTCCCTTCCCTATCGGAACACCTTAATGTGCATTCGTAAAGAAAAATACTTTAAACTAAATAAAACGACAACCTCAGTATTACCATACGAAAATAAAATTTACCAACTTAAATTGTTTTAATTATTTTTTTCACAACATAAAATAGTATATGAGCGCCTACACGGTGCGACTACAAGTTATCTCTCTAAGGTGCGCTCACGAGGGATATAATTGCTCGGCGACACGAATGGACCGATCTGGAGCAATTAATGGAGCAATTTCAAAGCAATGGCGCAAATTGCAGCAATTATTTCTGCGATATTGCTTCTAATTGCTCCAGATATTTCATATCGCTCAATGTCGCAGATACGAATTGACGAATATCCAATGGGCTTGGAAATTCCTAGCAATTTTTGTATATATCTCATTCGCACTTGTTTGTTTTGCGGCTTGCCGTCTTGCTTCCGCGGGGAGCAAGACGGCAAGCCGCAAAATTATTTCAAATTTTATTCATTCGAAAGTAATTCAAAGTCTGTTCGTGACATTCTAGTAAAGTTTTTGAATAATATATCATCTAATTCTTTACACAATGAAAATTGCGGCCTCTTTGCCAAAAACGATCGCACCCAGATACGCCTATTCCTTTTCTTTCTTTTTTTGTTTTTGATTAATAATAAAAAAGCGCTACAAGTCGCCGCAGCAAGAACTATGTCGTCCATAGCGAGCGAATACTGAAATGCTCGTGTAGGACATTATTGCCTAGTTAATGAAGTTGCGACATATCGCTCAATATTGTATTGCGCAGTATTGATGCTTGTTGCCGTTGCCGTAAATTGCTTGAAGTAGTCGTGACGTCATAGTTGACGAGTATTGACTGGAATTGAGCATAATGATTTCTTATATTTACGCGAACACTACACATTGAAATAATACTAGTTTTTACGGAATTTATCGCGTATATTTAACTTTTTAAATACCCGACGTTTCGAACGCTTTACAGCACTCATGGTCACGGGCGGGACTGAGATGTTCAACGTCCATATGTCATAGTTAACCGCGGTTACCATAGATTAAAATTTAACTTTTGTTCCGATCTATGCAGTATGAACTTATGGTATCTTGAAGTCTTGCAGTTGTATGCTTGGGTTGGGATTTAATTTTATTTATAATTATAAATATTTATTTTTAATTTTATTTATAATTATAAATAAAATTAAATCCCAACCCAAGCATACAACTGCAAGACTTCAAGATACCATAAGTTCATACTGCATAGATCGGAACAAAAGTTAAATTTTAATCTATGGTAAAAGTAAGTAAAGTAAAGTTACAGCCTATATACGTCCCACTGTTGGGCACAGGCCTCCCCTCATTTCTGAGAGGGTTTTTAGGGCGAGAAAGTATCCGCCGCGCTGCCCCAATGCGTGTTGGCGAACTTCACATGTCTTCGAAATATTTTTTTTCTTATTCCTCAGACATGCAGGTTTCCTCACGATGTTTTCCTTCACCGCCGAACACGTGGTCAATCAGCACTTAAAATTGTAATTAATAATTTCATTGGTGCCGGCGGAGATCGAACCCGGTTTGCTCACGTACTGTGAAATTTACAGCGAGCGCTAACCATCTGAGCTACCACGTCTCTTAATCTATGGTAACCGCGGTTAACTATGACATATGGACGTTGAACATCTCAGTCCCGCCCGTGACCATGAGTGCTGTAAAGCGTTCGAAACGTCGGGTATTTAAAAAGTTAAATATACGCGATAAATTCTGTAAAAACTAGTATTGTTTCAATGGAATTGAGCAATTTTATTTGCCCGTATAAGCCCACCTTTAATCTCGAAGAAGACGTCGAATTATGATAGAATATCACGTAAAGTAACATTGTTTAATCAAGTAAATATAGAGTATACAAGGTGTACAATATACATATTTTGTTTTCGCTCTTAAAAATATCCTGCGTTAGTACAGTATTGGTGCATACTCGCACAGTATACTTACAGTTACTTACATGCAATAGAAACCCATGAGATTTTCTGATATTTCTAATAATCACCCCTCAAGATAGGGGGTGACATGGGGTTAAGGATTATCTTACGCCGCGCCACCACACTATACCATACCATGACCCCCGAAAGTCTACTGCTGAATATAGAACTCACCCACAGATTGCCTCATAAGGGGCAAATTTGTTATACGAGTAGTTGGAACGCTTGTCATTAGCCTTTTATAGGATCTCGAGAGTCGCGTATAAATGAGTTTGTCAACTTACTCGAGTGTCTAACAGTACAGAAAAAGGCAAGACAGAAGCGTTTTAAAAATATTGATTAAAGATAATATTTGTTATTATAAAATAGGAAAATGCATGTTATAAATGTTTTAGATAGATTACGTAAATTAAGATGATAAATATGTTAAAAGTATTTAATTTTATTGATAGAATAACGAAATAATAATAGAACTGTATAAGAAGTTAAAGTCGTTTAGTTTTTTTTTTAATTATTTAAAATATGTGAAATAAGTAATGAGAATTATATTAATAAAGTTTATATTCGACATTTAAGGTTTATGACTGTAAGAAATCGTTTATAAAATTGTGGTATTTTGTTTAATATTTTATTAACTCTTTATGTAATGTAAATGTTTTAATTGTTTTCATAATATGTTTTCTTTGTACTTTATCTAAAATATAATTGTTCTATGATATTGTTATGGGCAATAAAGATATGGGATAATATATGGAAAATTCAATATGGGTATACTCCTTATGGTTTAGCTTCCGGGGTAGGTTAGTAAGTCACCCAATTTGTAATTCGTTCGGGAAGTTCGGTATCAGCTACAGTTTCCAGTTATAAATCAAGAAAGAAAAAGAAATTAGGGAAAGTAAAGTGAAAGTGTGAAATTTTAGTACTTATTGCATTTCCAGGCGGCACTTATGAACAATCGCTGTTTTATTTGAAGACTCTTTCAGTGTTCAGCCTAATGGTAGGGAAGTAAGGAAAAATTCAGTCCACTAAGTACATGACCGACGTCAGGACTGGGACCATTCCTTAAGGGCCCGTAATCTTAGTCGTCAACCCCTTTCTTTTTAAGAAGATGGTTAAGGTTCTAAGTCGAACGTCTTAGTTGAGGGTCACACCCACCGCGTTCTTTCCCAAACTCAACGAGGTGTGGTATATAGGAAAGCGGACCAGTAATTGGTTGATCACTGCTGCGGGCGAGAGATGAAGAACGAGATCTATTGTACTAACTTTCTCTTTAACTACTTAGTAATTATGTATGTATTTAGGGATTTATATATTTTAGGTTGCTTTCTTTTAATGCTTTCTATGTCTTCTTTTTCTATTTCTTAGAACACTTTCATTATGTTGTAGTTTAAGCATTATTTAATTTTTTCTTTATCCTGTGACACAACTTGAAACGAAAAAAGGTCAAATTACTGTTTAATGTTCTTTGGAATTAATAGGATTCCTGGGTATCTATATAATTTTATTAGTGCAAGTATACATAACTATCTTTTATTTATATTATGAAATACCTTGTAAGTTGGCCAAAACTTTGCATTCACCTCCGCTACAGCTTCATAAAAGGGCTTCATCTCTAGTAAACTCATGCCAAAGTAAAAACTGCACATTGCAAATGGAGTATATGTAATTGTTTCAACAAATGTCTGAAAAGTGAAAAGATTTTAAGAAAGTTATTTAATCATATCTTACAATTAAATAAACTACTACATGCTAGGAGGTTAAGAATAACACACACAAAACATCATATCAGAGCAATTTGGATTCAGAGCAGCACAGCATATTAATTGCTCCATAGCCTTTCAGATACGAAAGGACACCTGTGCTCTGGGACTTTCACACACACACACACACACACACACACACACACGCACGCACGCACGCACGCACGCACGCACGCACGCACGCACGCACGCACGCACGCACGCACACACATGCACGCACGCACGCACGCACGCACACACGCACGCACGCAAAACGCACGCACGCATGCACGCACACACGCACGCACGCACGCGCACGCACACGCACACGTATAATCATCAAAATCGGTTCACCTAGAAAAAGTTCTGAGGTAACACTGGAGAATACAATCTCGAGCATGTTTTTTATCTCGGGATTTCGGAATTTATGATGCGTAATATCGCGAACTTGGGGCTATACGGCGATAGGCTATACCCGGGATCCCGGGGCTATCTCGGAATTAGACTATGTGGTTTTTAATTGGGTACAAATGAAAGAAACTTCTTAAAAATGTTTTTAATACCGGTGCGGTAGCGGTTTGTTTTATATATCAAAGCATCCAAAGTATGGAGTGTAGAGGTAAGGAGTACAGACTGTGTATAAAAAAGTGTCCGGAGGAAAGCGTTAAATAAGGGTCTAAATTCTAATTTTTAAAGAACTTTTTATAATTTTTTATTGAACAGACTTTCACCATTATTCTTTTTACAAAAATTATTTTATTGCTTTTATTTTCAAAATCACTCTCAACGTGTTTTACGGCGATTTATCATACCCTGTTGCTACTTGAGCGCTGTTGTGGAGAGTTTTTGAACTGTTATTTACTGCTTACAGATGGACACATTTTCAACTATTCTCTTATGGGAGATTATCCTCCTTACCTCTATACTCCATGATCCAATGTTTGAATTCCAAGCCTGCTTCGTTGTTTATTGCCAACTTAAGCAGCAACTGAAAACGCTCGCGCCGGTTTTACGCTGGTTGGAAGAATAGACAATAGATACTTATATGCTATTTTTAAGTGATATCACAGAATAAATAATAGTTACAAGAATAGAAGGATCACTCTCTGACAGCAAACTTGCGAGCTTAAACCTAGTTACAACGTCGCTAGTCTTCATACACTCCTCGGAAGCGACCTTTGTGAAATAAGCATACCGATTAAAGCGTCAAAAAAATAATAATGCGGCGCGCGTATTAAATCAAAATGCACCTTCCGTCCGAGTATCTGTATCACTTAGCCCGTTAAGCACTTTTGTTAAGACCGCACCTACTGTAGGGTCTGACCCTACAGGTAGGTTTTTGTGACAAAACAAATTGAATCCTATGATATTAGTAGGTAGTAGAATACACCGAGGTGTTACGCAATGTACTAGTAATTTGCAGATAATAAGAACATTAATATTGAATGTAAGGAAGTATAATATACAACATTTAGAAAAATTAAGATTATAACAACGTGAACGTCTTTGAAACTCAGATAATTACAATACCTACTTACAATTTTCTGTATTACATTTTTTTTTGCTATTTAACAGTAAGTTAACTATTTTAACAGTGGTAGAGCCAGAGAGGTCATATGTTTTCGACGCCTCGGCAGCCTTGAAGGTACGGACCTATCCATCTTATGGCTGCGCGTAGACAGCGACTACCATCCCTGCCTGCGGGTGCCTCTATAGGTCCCACAGCGGTAATGCCGAAACAAACCCAGTCATCGACCACGTCCAGATGGCTACAGACTCCGTGCTACAACAGATCCCATCCGCAGAGATCGTGATACTTGGTGATTTTAACGCACACCACGCTGAATGGCTTGGTTCTCGTTTTACCGATCATGCGGGTAGATGTGTTTATGACTTTGCTTTGGCATATGGTCTGACACAACTGGTTACCTCACCTACGCGGATCCCAGATGTGGAAGACCATGTACCTTCCCTGTTGGACCTTCTGCTGACCTCTCATCCGGACGGATATCAGGTCTCCGTCGATGCCCCTCTTGGCTCCTCGGACCATTGTCTGAATTAGAGTGCGGCGCCACTCAAGCTCTTATCGCGGTTGCATACTGCAGGTTGCCGCCGTGTTTGGCATTATAGGTCAGCAGATTGGGACGGGATGCGATCTTTTTTTGCATCCTACCTTTGGAGGTGGGTTTGTATCTCGCCGGATGATCCCAGCGTTGTTGCTGATTCTGTCGCTGATGTGGTGCAACGGGAATGGAAATTTTTATTCCATTATCTGTGGTACCTATCGGAGGCAGAACCCAGCCATGGTTTGGTCGTTCCTGCTAAATTGCACTACGTCATAAGAAGTCTGGGCTCGCGCATCGACGTATCGGGATGCAAATACCAGCGCTGTTAAAAAGAAGTACAATTCTGCCTCCAGGTCCTTCAAGTGTCATTGTCAAGGCAGTCAGAGCACATTGGCAGAATTGGCTAGAAACTAGGTTGTCTTCCTTCGAGAACACGTGCATTCTGGTCTCTCGCCAAGGCTGTCCAAGGGAACTTCTGTCAGCCATCTTTCCCATCTCTGCACAGGGAGGACGACTCACTGGCCCATGCCGCAAAGGACAAAGCCGATCTGCTGGGCTCTCTCTTTGCGTCCAACTCGACTTTTAATGACGGGGGAAACACACCGCCGACCATCGCGTAGTGAGTGCTCCATGCAGGATGTCCTGTTTACCCAACGCTCAGTTCGCAGAGCACTCCTCTCCCTGGACGTCAACAAGTCGAATGGGCCGAATGGCGTTCCTCCTATTGTGCTGAAGACGTGTGCTTCGAAGTTGCACCGGTTTTAACACGTCTTTTCCGGTACTCCTACTCCCTCGGAGTAGTACCGAAATCATAGAAGACAGCCCTCGTACACCCGATCCCTAAAAAAATCCGATGTCTGATCCGTCCAACTATAAACCTACTGCCATCATCTTTTTGTTCTCTAAAATAATGGAATTCATTATTAACAGCCAGCTCATGCGGTACCTTGAAAATCACCAGCTGATTAGTTACCGCTAGAACGGTTTCCGCCGCGGTTGCTCGGCTGGTGATCTTCTGGGTTACCTAACTCATAAATGGGCGGAGGCAGTAGAGTCCAAGGGGGAGGCGTTGGCTGTTAGTTTGAACATAGCGAAGGCCTTCAATTGGGCTTGATACAAAGCCCTTCTTACGAAGCTTCCCGAGAAATTGTGCAATTGGATCACCAGTTTTCTTGCTGATCGGAGCATCAAGGTCGTAGTAGACGGTGTATGTTCCGAATGCAAGCCTATTAACGCTGGTCTTCCACAAGGCTGCGGGCTATCACCAACGTTGTTTCTTCTGCATATCAATGACATGTAACATTCATTGCTTTGCAGACGACAGCACTGGTGATCCTTTATAGATCGGCCGTGCCAATCATCATCATCATCATCACAGCCCTTCACAAGTCCACTGCTGAACATAGGCCTCCCCCAAGGAATGCCACAAATCACGGTCCTCAGCCACCTGCATCCATCCACTTCCTGCATGTCTTATCAGGTCGTCACTCCATCTAGAGGGGGGACGCCCTACACTTCACCTGTCGGTATGAGACTGCCACTCGAGAACCTTTTTTCCCCATCGGTTATCGGTTCTTCGAGCTATATGGCCGGCCCATTGCCACTTCAGCTTACTAATCCGTTGGGCTACCTTTGGAGTTGGATAACCTCATTCCTAAGTTTATCACGCAGAGGAACTCCGAGCATAGCCCTCTCCATAGCTCGCTGAGCGACTTTGAGCTTCCTCATACGGCCAGCAGTGAAGGACCACGTCTCAGATCCATAGGTCATCACTGGCAACACGCACTGGTTGTACCATCGAGTTTTGAGATTTTGAGGTATGCCTGACGATAAGATGTGTCGCAATCTCCCGAACGTTGCCCAGCCGAGTTGAATCCGTCGATTGACCTCTCGGTCGAAGTTGGACTTACCTAGTCGGACTATTTGTCCCAGGTAAACGTACTCGTCAATAACTTCGAGCATAGTGCTCCCCACAACTACCGGCATAGGTGTGACATGGACATTAGACATGATCTTTGTTTTGTCCATGTTTATCTTAAGACCTATCCGTTGGGAGACACCATTGAGGTCATTGAGCATAGTGCTAAAGTCCTCCAGCGATTCTGCCATAAGGACTATATCGTCGGCAAATCGAAGGTGAGTGATGTACTCGCCATTGATGTTAATACCGTATCCTTTCCAGCCCAGTAGCTTGAAAACGTCTTCCAACGCAGCGGTGAAGAGTTTCGGGGATATAACGTCACCCTGTCTTACACCTCTGTGCAGTTGGATAGGTTTCGAACTCTGGTTCTGTACTCGGATAGCCATCGTAGCCCTACTGTACAAACACTTCAGCACCTCGATATACCGACAGTCAACTTGGCACCGCTGAAGGGACTGTAGCACCGCCCAAATTTCGACGGAATCAAAGGCTTTCTCATAGTCCACATACGCCAGGCAAAGTGGCAGATTGTACTCTTCGGACTTCTGTACAATCTGCCGCAGAGTATGTATGTGGTCTATGGTACTGAAGCCTTTTCGGAAACCGGCTTGTTCGGGAGGCTGGAAGTCGTCTAGTCTGTGTGCGACACCATTCGTAATGACTCTCGAAAACAGCACTTAGACGCTGTTCAGAAGGGAAATCGGTTTGTAGTTCTTCAAGAGAGAGTTGTCGCCTTTCTGCACTCCATAACTCCGGAGTAGTGTCACCATGGAGGACAGAATTGAAGTTTCTGAAGGACTTTAAGTATCGGTTTTCCACCCGCTTTCAGAAGCTCCACTGTAATTCCATCCTCGCCCGGAGACTTGCCGTTTTTAAGGTGTGGGAGAGCTATTCTGATCTCGCTCAGACTGACGTCCGGGATATCATCGGAATAGTGTCGGATAAGACTTGCTCTTACATCGTACTCACACTTGCGTGTGGTTCCAACGATGACGTGTACAGCTCCCCATAGAACTTCTCAATCTCATTCAGAATCTCAGGTGTCCCGGAAACGATGCTGCCACATTCGATCTTCAGTTTCGACAGGTGGCTCTTTCTGACAGACAAATCTCTGGCAAAGACTTTGGAGCCCTGCTTCCGCTCGATCGCTTCTTCAATACGAACTGTATTAAAGTTGCGTAAATCCCGCCGCATGCATTTGGAGATCTGTTTGTTCAGTTGCCTGTATGCTGTCAAAACTACTGACGACTGCAGTTTCATCTCCCGTCTAACAGCCACGAGATTCAGAGTATGATCGGAGACTTTTTGTATTCTTCTGCAACGGGTCTTACAGAACTTAGCTCCGACCGCATGGACAGTTTCCACAAGCTTATCATTTATATCGTCCACTTCATTGCAGTTTTCTAGGCACCGAAAACTATTTTGTAACTCGAGCTGAAAGTTTTCGGGCTCTAATCCAAAGGATTAGAGCACGAGGGGGACGGAGCGTTGACCTCATTAGCCGTGATCTCTCCAACTTCACGTTTAGGTTCAGTCTGCCTCTCACCATTCGGTGATCGCTGCCAGTTTTCACCCTTGCGATCACTGAGACATTAGTGAACAGTTGTCGTCTGGTCGTCATAAGTTAATTCGTGTGGAAGTCAATCTCATTTTTTATCGAACCGCCGGGGCTCGACCAGGTCCACTTTCTGTGGGGAAGAAAGAGTTCATCATAAAGTGTCCCTCTTTCTCCATAAAGTCGGCCAGTTGTTATTCTATTTGCCAGCCCCGATTCATTTTGTACTTGTATTTCAGGATCTGGGGATTTCATACTCTTATCAATTTCCAGCTGTAACTTTTCCTTTAATGTCAATTGTGGTGGGGAGGTTTCTGGCCGTAACACATCATCTGTTTGTGATCCTGACCTTTCTTCTTTTTCTGTGTCATTTCGGCTATTAAGTCATTTAACAATACTCTTTATTTGCTTCTTCACTAAAGTCTGTGTAGGAACTGGAAATAAGTCATGCCATTCCAAATTGGACAATAACTGATTATAATCATCACTTACTCGTTGCTTTATACGTTTCACTAAGGATGTTTTCATTTTTTTAGCAAGTGCTGAGTTTATGCTAGACAGTTGTTTTAAAGAAATTTCAAAGCGGTATCAGCTGTGCATAAATTAGCATCTCGCCGACAGATTGCTCCTACTCAATTTAATTGGGGTCAGCACATCAACAATTTTATATACCTTCTAAACAAATTGGATGATTGAGATCTATAAAAATATGTGAAAATTGAACATGGAAAAGAGATGTCACTTCTTTTAGACGACTGTAAAACCAGGTGGAATAGTCCTTCAAAAATTCTGAAGCGGTTTTATCTTTTAAAAAACTGCATTTAAAATCTCTTATGTCTCTGATGTGAATCTGTAAGAGCTTGTAAATGCAGCTTTTTAAAAGATAAAATCGCTCCAGAATTTTTCCACCTGGTTTTACAGTCGTCCAGAAGAAGTGACATCTCTTTTCCATGTTCAATTTTCCTATATTTTTGAAGTATTTTTCATTTTTCAATGGTGATCTTTTGAAATAAACTACAACTACGGATTTTCTTTATCAGCTCATATTTATCTTGTATTATCCCTGGTATATGTTCTCGCATTTCTCGCGCAAGATCATTTTGTGACATTAAGACTAAACCTGATTCTGAACAGTCTATGTCTTCTAAATGGTCATCATCATCGCTGTCGTCCATCCAAAAAAAAATTATGTTTTTGTAAAGCACACACAGATGGCTGGAATTAACACGATGTGCGAGACACAGTTGTTGTTCAGTGCAAACAAGCCGTCCCACATCTAACATAATATTCGGTCCATCAGTTGCAATAGCCGTGATGTCAGTTTCCAGGGAAATATCAAATTTACTTAGACGAGATATAAAAAGAGAATTTTCAGCTGTCATACTTCCACAAATAGGAACAAGTCCTAAGTTCCAAAATTTTTTATATGAATGAATGTTGACAGCCATGTATTGTTTATTGGACGTTGAAGTCCACTTATAAAAAGAAAGACTAAATCTTTCACCTGCACTTTTCAAATGTTTCAATTCTGCAGTTACTTGCTGATTCTTTCATAGTAATTCATAACACATTTTCGAATGGTGATGGCTGACTTTGGTAAATCAGTGTATTATGCTGAGAGCAATTTTCTCAAATCATCAAAAGTTATGAATGGAAATCCATCTAATGCAATAATTCTTACAAATAGGCATTCAGGCTATAATCAGCACTTTAAGTAAAATAATCATCAAACATTCCCTTGGCTGATGGTGGTGCTGTGCTCATATTTTCAGAATCTTGACTTTTTAAAAATGATATAACATTGATGTAATGTTTTGATGACAAATGTGTATGTAATTCCTTAATCGAACCACTCAAAGTCTTGAGAATATCTGAGCATCATTTAGCACTATTCCTTTCCTTCGCAACAAAAAAATAACTCCACACTGACATCATATCACTGTCTTTTTTTGTGTTTAACAGTCTCCTGCCATTTAAATTACTAAATTTCAGATAAGTGACTTTTAAATTTAAATGATGTATCCTACATCATCTCATCATCTCTGGCAAAATAATAAATGAAAAAAATAAAACATTTTTGCATTGACATATTTATGTACAAATATGTCAATGTAAAAAGGTTCGAATCTCCGACAGGAAATACCCTGTAAAAATATTATGATATAAGTTGATGGGGTAAATTGCCCAGTTGGCTCATTGGGTATTACCTTAAGAGAATTGTATTGAAGAATTCCGAGCATGGAAGTCCCTTCTAAATTCTACGACAAACATATTATTAGGGCTATACCCGTTTAGTACATATTGTATCATAAATCTAAGGATTGCTTTTTGTTGTTATGTAATAAATGCTATTAATATTAGAGATGGGCTCAATATTCATTTCATATTCGGCAGCTTTACCGAATATTCGTCATGTTAAATCACCGAAAATTTCTTAAATTGTGTGGTACTCAATATATCCACTGTATTGAAATGTACGAATTGAGCAATGCAATGTTTTTCACAATTTTACTGTTGAAAGTATATTTTATTTATGGGTTAAATCTACTTGTTCCCCCTTCCTCCCGGATCTCGATTTCGAGCAGACGTGTTTAGTGTTGTTGTCTTTCTTGTTTAAATATAAATTTCATCAATATTTAATTAAGTGCAAATAATAGGAGTGCATAATCTATAAGAGCCTAAAACACCAGGCGCGCCGTGGAAAATTCCGTGCTCGACCCTTAGAGTGACTCACCTGTCAATCATCTCTTAACACCGCCCCTTTGTTATGGCCCTCTCTGGCGTACCGGTTAGTGATAACTGTTACTAAATTACCTGTGCTCCTGGTATCTTATGTCTCACACGCGGACGAATATTGCAACTGTCGTAATTAAATAGAGTTAATTATTATCACATCTACCGCCTTTTAAAAAAAACATGCCACTAAAGCATACTCCTCCAAAGGATCTGCAAACATCAAATTGTGAGTCGGATTCAAGCACAAAAGGTTCGACCGAAAATGTCGCTATCGCTAGTAGAAATAAGCGGATTTAATTCAAAATTTACCACTCTTCAATCTGTTATAAATGATATTAGGGTGCAAAATACCGAAATACGAAAGTCCCAAGATCTTATGTCCGAAAAGTATGATGAAATAATACTCAAAATAGAAAAACTGGAGTCCGAAAGAAATAAGAATTTTATCTACATTCAATCACTTGAGGCTAAATTGGAAAATATGGAGAGACGCCTCCGGGCAGCCTGTCTGGAAATTAAAAATATTCCGATAAAACAAGGGGAATCAAAGGAAGACTTAGCTAATTATGTAGTAAATCTTGCTCGGTTGCTCAAATTATCATCAATTAGGCATCAGTCTCTCACATTAATTTGTGCCTTTTTTTGTTAAAATTCGATATTGTTAATTTAATGTGGAGAGAAAAATAAATAATTATTATTATTATTACTTGTATAGCATTGTTTTTGAGGCACTATATAGTTATTTCCAATTATAGCAAATAGAAAGCTTGATAAAATATTTTTGGAATCAAATAAAGCAATATTTCATTATATTAACATTTCAATTTATTTTCGTCGTCAGTTTTTCTAAAATAAGTCCAAATAGTAGATCTCCTGCCACTCATTTTTATCAAATGATTATCGATTTTTACTAATAATAACACAACAAAATACCTTTTTTCCCACAAAAGTAATGAAAACATAAGCATGTGCCGGCAATTTGCTCAGTACTATGATGCATTAACATTTTTAATGGGCGGCGGTAGTCACTTAACATCAGGTGAGCCGCATGCTCGTTTGCCCCCTCTTCTATAAAAAAAAATTTCAGGTGTGTTTAGTTTAGTTTAGTTTACGACGGGCTGTTTTCCGCAACTCCACGTCTAAGCGCGTATTTTGCGTGTGGACAGGAATAATATGGTTATTCGAGCCATGATATCTCCCTGAAGAAGCTCAGCAGTCCCTTGATGTTGCAAGCAACTTCGGGGAGCGATCCCGGCGTGCCGAGATGTTTAGCCCTGTATGAAGCGACTTCTGGACATGTCAGCAACATGTGAGCCGCCGTTTCTTCCTCTCCCATGCATGCCCTGCACAGGGGGCTATCAGTAACACCTATGGTGAAGAAATGTTTGTTAAAAGAGCCATGTCCAGTGATAGCACTTGTTACTATCCTAATCTGTGGCTTGTTCAGTCTCATTAATACCTCGGTTAGACGACTGTTTATTTCAGGTAGGGCCTCCCTAGCTTGTTTAGTCTACTATTTATATATTTCAGGTGTGGCGAGGGAGTGGAGGGCAGGACCCAGCGCTAATCAAGCGCACTTTACGGCAGGGTTCTACATTTATTGGTCAGGTATCGAGGGGATCCTTCTGAATAATGTTCGGCCGAATATTCGTATTCAGTGAAATCCATATTCCGCCCATCTCTAAGTAATATAATCTAGGTAAGGTTATTGTCAAGGCGCAACAGACTACGGAATGCAAACTAGACCTGTTTGTGGCAATGCCGAAAATTTCGCGATTACCCAATTATAGTCCTAGGATTTTCGGAGCCAGAAAATGACTGGGATTCTAGAATCTCGAATCTCGGGATTGTATTCTCTAGGTAACGCATTAAAAAAATAGTCAAATTCAGAACTTCCTCCTTTTTTTGAAGCCAGTTGAAATGTGATGATCCTTAAAGATAAAGAACTAATTCATCGATATTTTTTATTGATTAAAACTACTTTTACGGATCATATCGCGTTATCTTTAATTATTTTTAATTCCCGACATTTCGGGTGTTTTCCAGCACCCATGGTCACAGGGGACTGAGATGACTGATGTCCCAATGTCATTGTTAAACCCGGAGTACCTTCAGCTTTTTGAACTATTGCTTAGGGCCCGATCCATGCAAAATGAAGTGACTGTGTCTTGAAGTCTTGCAGTGGTATGCTTAGGTTTAGTTTTAATTTTATTGATTATAGGCAGGCATGACTGACTAACTTTTTTCTATACACAGTGTAACCTATGGTGTTGTTAGTCATCCGAAATCCTAACAACACCACAGGTCACACTGTGTATAGAAAAAAGACCCATACAAACCAATATTTAAATGGTGAGTCTCACCACCATCCTTCACATTTAGCTACCATGGGCAAATCTTTGTTACAGAGAGCATGAGGAATCTGTGACAGCAAACACCTGGCCGTCGATCTTCAGCACATCAAGCATGTTCTACATGACAACAAGCATCGGGTCCCATGCCTATGTCACACAAGTCACAGTGACCAAGTGAAGCCGGCCACAGTTGAGCATGTGCCTGCTGTACCACCATATGTGAGAGGTGTCACAGACAAGATTGGCTACATATTGAAGCGAGCTTTTATTAGAACATTCTACAAGCCGCCAAAGAAGATTAGTCAGTTCTTACCATCCGTCAAGTGTCATATTCCTCTACAAGATGCACAAGTGTACAAGCTTGATTGTGAATGTGATCTCTCTTATATAGGACAAACAAAAAGATCAATTAGAGCCCACGTAAGAGAATATATAGCTGATGTGAAACATCAACATTCCGGGTCGGTCCAAGTCTGCAGTTTGTGATCATATCCTAGACGGCCCCAACCATTACATCAGATTTGATAAACCACAAATCCTCGCGAAAGAACACCGATTCTTACCAAGGATGATACCTGAGGCTATTGAAATTAAAAAACATACTAATTTCAATAGAGAAGAAGGCTGGGTACTACCACCTGCATGGGACCCTATAGTCAATATAATTAAAACTAAACCCAAGCATACCATTGCAAGACTTCAAGACACAGTTAGTTTATTCTGCATAGATTGGACCAAAGACAATAATTAAAAAGCTGAAGGTACTCCGTGTTAACTTTGACATCGGGACGTCAGTCACCTCAGTCCCCCGTGAACATGGGTGCTGGAAAGCACCTGAAACGTCGGGTATTAAAAAAAATAAAAAAAAGCACAACAAAATCCGTAAAAGTAGTTTTAATCAATGTGTAGTGTTCGCGTAAATATTAGAAATTGATATCTTTTATTTTTAATTATGTTTTTAAGCCAACAGAACTTATTTTTGGTAATTAAAGATAAAAAACAAAATATTTACAAAACTATGTTAATTTTAAAAATAATTTGTATTGGATTGAGTGTAAGAATATTCACTATTTCACCTTTATTAAACCAGCGCGAAGACTGTTCCCGGGCCACATAATACTAGCCACTGATAACCATGTGTATAATGTGGGAGCAACATAACAAGAACCCCATAACCCAAAACGTGCACATCGCCACCAATCATAGCTATTTTCTGAAACTACAAACAAAAGTACCTTACACTTATTTGTAAAATAACATTTGAGATGGCATTGACCACATAAATTATCACTTACCGAATCTTTTTCCTTCAAATGTTTGTTGTATAAAACTTGAAATTGGCCAAATAATACCATATGATGCCATGCCTCGTAACACGGGAAATTTGTTAAAAGCAACGGCAATCTTACTATGAACACTCATATCTGAAATTGTTTTAAATACGTATGTATATGGTAAAAATAACCATTTCTTGGTTATGAGGAAATAGCAATGTCTGGTAATGCGCCAAGTACTTTAAAGGCAACCAGTGGTCGGATCAGAGAATCACATAACACTATTCGAAGAATAGAGATATTAAAAGATCTACATGTAGTCATGGCCTTGTAAATTATATACATATTTGTTTCGTATTCGCTAAAACGCTAAAAATAAGAAGGAACACACTTTAGTTTGTTGTAGTTTGACATTTGACAATTGACAGCTGTTGGCAATGGGTGCGTTTGGCAGAAAAAAGCGCTAGCAAGCGCTTATAAGCGCTAAAATAGTTTTCGGCCAGGACACGATTGCTACTTCAGTAGCGCTGACACAATCCGCCATTTTGCTTATTTAATTTGTTTGTTTTGAAGTAGAGTTTATAAGTTGTTTTGTGCAATATTACTTTTAAGTAATATAATGACATGAATAAACATATACATGCTATTAAAAACTCATGATTGGTAAGTTTTTAATATGAATACCTTACAAACATATATTTAAATTAGGTTAGATTCCCCGGTTAAAACTAACATCGTGTCCTGGAGGAAAATAGCTACTTACGATTTGACAGCGCTTACCGCTTACGATCGCCATTTTGCTTACAAGCGCTTGCTAGCGCTTTTTTCTGCCAAACGCACCCATTGTTGTAGGCATGTCGATCTAAATCGATTAATCGAAAAATCGATTATCTGAATTTTTAGATCGATTTGGAGCACCGCATCGATTCGATGAATCGATCCAAAAACCTCTTGAATCGGACTGATTCATCATATTCAAGAACTAGCGATAAAGTTTCTATACTGGCTGGGGTAAGAAGTAATATACCGCAGTTTTTTAATTTTTTGCTGTTGGCGGACGCAAAAACAACCAGTCGTACTTGGTTGCAGTGATCGTTCTCCTGTTCTCTAACCTTCATGCTACGTACTAAAGCATAGCCCACCTGTCCTTGAAAATTGTAGAATTTATAGCGGCACTGACGTCGGTGAGTAGTGACTGCGAAGTTAGCTGTCTATGAGTACAAGTAGATGAAGTTATAGTTGAATAATGTACAATTTCTCCGCGGTATTAGTGAGAAAATTTTCATGCTCCGTAATTTTGTAATTTTGACAAAAAGAAACATTAAAAATGGAGATGTATTTTGTTGTGCGTGGATGTGCAAGTGGTTTAGCATCTGATCGGAAAAATAGACTGAAAATGACTTTTATTGACCGAACTTAGCGATCGCAGCGCCTCACTTACAGTGTCCATATTTCTGGGACACTATATTCTACGACGATCGTTCTCCCGTTCTCTAACCTTCATGGTGCGAACTACACAAGACTAGACAGGAGTTTTGGCGGTAACTGTTTTGTCGCTTGAATAATGCTTTGAAGTGGATTTTGATTCGTAAAAGTGATGCGATTTTATGAATTAAGTGTCTGCGCGTGTGAACTATTACAGAAAACAACGAAACAAGTGCTTTGATGTTGATATAAACCTCAAGTTAATTTGATCGCTTGGACGCCTTATGAACTTGAGCGGCTGTCCTCATCAACAGTCCGCTAGGTTGAGCTGTCGTCAAAATCTCCCAAAAACTTCGCAATGTGACGCATCAGCATATTGTGAAGACAAAATATATGAAATGATGATTCTAAAAGTATATATGTTGCAGAAAAACAAATATATGTTGCAGAAGTGAATGGAAGAGTCGGAAAGGGACGTCCTAGGCGGAAGTTTGTCGACCAAATTGGCGATATACTAAAAATGGGCCAAATTAAGAGTACCCTTAACCGACGAGCATGTATGCGTAGGTATATGGATGTGAAAGAGGCGAGAAAGGTATGTCAGGATCGTGCTAAATGGAAGTCTGTAGTCTCTGCCTACCCCTCTGGGTGACAGGCGTGAGTGTTTTTATTATGATTCTAAAAGAAATGATAGGCTCAGAAGGGCTAGAACTCAGAACCATAAAGCCAGTTAAATAAAGTTAAATAAAAAACTAGTCAGTAGGGGTGGGTAATATCGTACCTATGTATTGGAAACGAATATCTGATATTGTATCTATATATTTCAATATCTAAATATTTGTTGATATTTTGGTTATATTAAGTTAAATTGTGTCGTGTTTATGCCATCTAGCGTATTTTGTGCGAACCACCTTGAGAGCATAGAGTAAATATGATATTTAATCAATTTTTCAATATGAGAGTTAATCAATTTTTGTTCGATAAAATCATTTTACGTATAAAATGAAGTAGATGGCGCTATTACAAACTATTACTTTACTCTTTTACTCCAAAGAATACATTTTTAATTTATTATACTTAACTTCTCAAAATAGTCTCATATTATGCGTGTAAGCGGACGGGACATTATTATACATAATAGGTTTAATTGGTTCTACACAATGTCAAATATTAAACTTGAATTAATTTGTTTAAAAAATGTACAGTATCTACCTAATATCTACGCATCTATATAATATTTTATGTTACACTACTCTTTATACACAAAAACAGTTCAAACTTAAAAAATTATCATAAAACGAATAAAATATCAAATTAAAATTAAAATTTCGAAACCGAATTACAAACGAAAGTGAGCAGAGAAATTACATAAAATATGTCATCAGCATTCAAATTACGCGACGCAATTCACGATGCATGTGAACGAAACTGAAAATAAAATTTAAAAATACAACTTTTTTGCCCAAAGCACAAGAGCAAACAGGTACTTGAATGTTTCAATGTCGGTTTCAACTTAAATTTCAGGTCATGTTACAAATATTTAAAATAAATTGGATTAAAAATAACATTCTATTACATACACAATAAGATATAAAGTCCTTTATTTCGAAAACATTGCAACACAACAAAATATTAATAAAATACCACTTAGACTGGATATTAAAAATGATGTGTTCTGTAATAAATCGTATGTTACTACTAATAAGGAATAATATTAATAATAGGCGAAAAAATAATATATTCTATCGCGCTCACGGTTTGTTCGGTATTCGAATCAATGTATATATTTAGATATTTTACGTTTTCGTTTCGAGTAGATATTAGATATTCTGCGATTCAGACACCGCTAGCTGTATTGCCGCGGCAGCGATATCGTAATATCTAATATATAGTTGGTTTGTCGTCCGATATATAGATGTTGAATATTGTACTGATATATAGATATTGTACCTATATACGATTTGTATCGCCCACTCCTACCAACTCCTACTCTATCTAGGGTATGTTCCGAAATACAACGCAGTGTACTGTTCAATGCAAATGACGTATCATTTGACACTTTATTGTACTAGCGTGGCACCGCCATATTGTGTCGAATATCCACAGAGTACCTTTTGCATACCCCTAGTGACGTGAAATAACGCCCACGTCTACTAGACACTAGACAGACGTTTGACGTTAGGTTAGGGCGCTCGAGAGATTAATGTTAATTTTATTAATTTATTATGATTCATTTAGCCTTTAAGCAATATATTACTATACTCTTTGCCTTTAAGTCACAAGTTAAGTCCTTGGGGCTAAAATAATAAATAAAATTTTAATAATCAAAGGTTAATAAGATATTTTTAAATTTATTATTAAACGATATGTAATCCAATAAATTTTGTTTATTGAAGGCAGCTATGATCTGTTTGTGATACAACTAAAAAAATTTAAACATGTCTAGTAATTCCCTCTTATTTTCAATCAATAACGAAGGTAAAGTCTATGCTCTCACAACGAGTGGCTCTTGCTGGAGGGAGTTTATGTACCTGGGCATAGAATTTAAAACGTTGTCCGCTGTGCCGCATTTTTTGTGGGCCGTGGGAGGTGACCGACAAATATACCTTCATGTCCATGGACTTGAAATACCAATAAGAGTGAAAGAAGAGTCTTACGAAAATGAAAGATGGATTCCATTAGAAGGTTTTACTGGAAGACTTTTACCTACAGATCGATACCACTTTTCTTCTCAAGATGGTAGCAAAGATAGAGCAATAGACTCCATAAGACTTCCATCTATGGCATGGCAATGGGAAGGTGAGTGGCAACTGGAACTAACATTAGATGGGCAGCCATTAGATCATGATGGATGGAGTTATGCTGTTGATTTTCCAGCTCAGTTTGGTCCTATGAAGCAATGGAAGTCTTGTGTAAGACGAAGGAAATGGATTCGATATAGAAAATTCAGTGCAATGAATTCGTGGTGTGCTATTGCTCCACTTCATAAAGATCCAACACAAGAACCCTTCATAGATGTCAGTATTGGTGGTAATCACATTCCATATGCTTCTCCTGGTACACTGTCAGTGTGGGCTATAACAGCTCATGGTCGTGTAATGTATAGAACTGGAGTCAGTACAAGCTCTCCAGAAGGACAAAAATGGATCAATGTTAGTATACCACCGAATTGTGATATAAAACAACTTTCAGTAGGCCCTACTGGCTTAGTTTGGGCATTACTTTGGACAGGTAGAGCTATTATTAGAAAAGGGGTAACCAAAGATTGTCCAACAGGTGAAGCTTGGTTGGAAGTAAAGTCACCTCCAGAAACTAAATTATCTGTCCTCTCTGTGGGATATAATGTTGTCTGGGCAATAAGTTCAGATACCAGAGTATGGTTTAGAAAAGGAGTGGACGGCAATTTGTCTGGTAGTTCAGAAGCAGCTGCAATGGGTACTGGTTGGTTGGAAATAAATGGTAACATGGTTCATATTTCTGTCGGTATTAATGACCAAGTATTTGCTATTGGTGAATCCAACAAAAATGTTTATTGGAGAAGCGGTATAACTCCAGCAGAGCTAACAGGTAAAAGGTGGAGAATGGTGCAAGCTAATATGCAGTTAAGTCGTACATCAAGCACAGCAAGTATTATTTCATCAGTATCTAATTCAAAACACCAGAGCCTCAATTTACTACCTGAATCAGCAACAACTGAATTAAAGTCTAACATTACTTTACATAGTTCTTGGGAAGAATCACATTCAGCGCCCATTGAGAATACGTTACCCATTAAACCTAGTGTGTCACGACCAAAGAAAAGTACAAATCTTGATAGTATAGACTTAACTGGAAAAAGTTACGAAACTACATTAAAAAATCCAAGAGCTTGGAGTCCCGTACGTAGTGTAGGCTCTGTAGTTGGTATGGAAGCACAACCAGATAGTGATAGTAGTGTGTTTGATGTTGATTCTGGAATGTACTTTGATGATGATGTTAGTCAAACAGCTTGGGGAACTTGTGATGCAACATGGGCTATTGTGGAAGCTGGTGGTTGTGTTGTAGATACCATAAATGTACCACATTGGTTCTCTGACTCACAAAATACTTTTAATTCAGATATAACAGCTGAATGGCGATTACAAATATTAGAACGTTTAAAAAATAGAAGCAATTCAGAATTTGATTTAACTCAATATGGTTTAGCAATTGAAGAAAAAGGTTGGACTCGCAGCAGTGAGGCAAGATTAGTTAATGCTAATAATTCTAGTGAGGACTGTATAATTTCTTTATACTGGCATGCTTATGAAAATACTGGAACTTTGTCTGTTTTTCAGCCTGATGGTACTATCAAATTTATTTTGAATTTAGGTGAAATTGTTTGCATTACTACATCATCAGAACCAAGTAGCCCCAGAATTTCATTAACTGTTCCAAACCAAACCAAAGATATTATTAAAATACAGTTTATGACTGAAATGGAGCAAGAAGAATGGTTGAATGTGTTAGTTGATATTACTTCACAGATACATGGACTCTCAGGAAGACCTTCAAATAACTCTGTCTGGGCTATAACAAATTCAGGAGACATTTTGAACTGGGATCCTATGCCAGCAAAATTAAATTACGAAGAAAATGGTAAATATTCAAAAGAATTTCAAGTATTTGGAAAAAATATCATAAGTGGATTTTCTACAGCACTACACAATAATTTCACACCTGGATGTATGCTGAGAATGTCAGGAAGCTTGTTTGATGAAATTAAAAGATTTCACATCAACTTTCAAGGCCCAGAAGTAAAAAAGCAAAGGCATAAAATAGAGACAGAAGTATGTGAAATTCCTTTCCATTTCAATGTTCGATTTGATGAAAATGCAGTTATTTGTAACTCAAAAATATCTGGTCATTGGGGTGCTGAGGAACGTCATAAGTTACCTTTAGCAAGGGGACAGGAGTTTACTATTACGTTTGTTTGTGAACTTAAAGGTTTCACAGTAATTATTAATGATGAAAAATATTGCTCTTATAAACATAGACTATCACCAGAAACAATTACATCAGTATCAGTGCAGGGGCCTTTAAAACTTTATAATATGGAATATTTATCAACAAGTGTTATAATAGGTCCAGATGAAATGTTTTGGCGCATGATGGGAGGCTATTTACGAAAAGTGGAGTGTAGTCAAAATGGATTTGTGTGGGGCATATCTCATGATCATAGAGCATGGGTTTATACAGGAGGCTGGGGCGGTGGTATTTTAAAAGGTATGTAGGGAATGGTATGTGTAAAAATCAATGTGGGAATTAATTTTTTTCCATAATTTATTGGTTGAATAATATCTTTATGATAAATTTTCAGGAATTGGAGGTAATGAAGGAATTCATGCAATGACTGATACACAAACTTATTGTGTTTATGAAAATCAGAGATGGAATCCATTATCTGGATATACTTCAACTGGTCTTCCCACAGACCGATACATGTGGAGTGATATTACGGGAAGGCTAAAAAGAACAAGAGAACATACAAAATTATTAAATCGGCATTGGCATTGGGTAAATATCCTAAAATATTTATTAGCCTAAGCTTGGTCTTAACATTAATAATTAAGCTTATATTATTATTATTACCTATGAAATGATCAGTTTTATATTTAACCTCTCAAACCCCAAGTGGTCGGATCCGACCCACTAACCCACAGCACTTTTAACCATTAAAATTTATATTTAGAGACTACTTTTCTATGCAAAAGTTTGGCATTATAAAATCTATACAAAATTCTCTATCCTGTGGTCTAAACAAAAGTCAGGACGGACGCATGTGACCGCATTGGATTTTTATGAGGATTGAAGGGTTAAAAATTAACATTTCTATTTAGGGCTTATTTTATTACCTATGAAATGACCAATTTTATATTTAAATAATATTTTTATATAAAACAAAAGGCATCCAACGGTTATTATAATTTATTTAATATTCTGTGCTATTAGTAAACAAAACACTTACGGAATATCATGGTTTCCATTCATGTCTGTCATCACAATCAAAATCTTAAAAAGTTGAATTTTAAATCCAAGAGTTTATTTTAATTTTAAGGTGAAATTGGGGTATGCTAAACAAATTTTAATACTATCATCTAGTATGTCAAATGCAAGATTATTTATTTGATGATTAATTGACTAATGTGGTATATTGTTGTAAATGGCTAATATTCATCTAATTTGACTAAATTACAAATCCTTGTTCTAAATAAAAAATAAAAATATAAATTTCTTTGCAACTTTCCGCTAAACAATGTTTAGCGGAAATTTAAAGATATTTATATTTTTATTTTTTATTATAATGGATTTCCGCAAAGTAACGCCTGATTCTATCAATTACCTTGTTAAAGCTGATTGTGAGAAAATTAGACATTGCACGCAATTATTATTCTTTTTATCTTGTTTGCTCATCACTATCGCTGCAGCCCATTATTAATATCATTATCATTTTGTATCTACACTTTGCGATCTCATTTCTGCTTAGGCTCAGTCATTTGTAAGGCTTACATGGAGACTTATTTGTCAACATACAGAGGCCTTTAGAAGAATTTTACTATATTTTGTAATGTGATGTATGTTGTAAGTTTCACTCTGTGTTCATAATAAAAATAGGGCTTGTGGAGTGTGATCTTCAATTATGTTACCTGTGGTTTTGTGTGTATAGTTTGGTCTTGAATTGCTAACATAAAGCCATACATTTCAAGGAAGAGCCCTTCGCGCTTGAGCCACATGTCCCACACTTTGTCCACGTTTACGTTCATCGAGATGCAATGGTTTATTCTCTGTAATGTCTTCTGCTACTGGATGTTGATTTCATTCTGTGCAAAGATAATCCTTTCGGTTTCCTTTTCTTTTGAAAGCATTAAGGTTTAGAGGAGTGAGTTTAGTATTGACTTGTACAACAACATTGTGAATGGGACTTTTATTGGCTTGATGATGGAAGAGGATTCAAATTGTAATATTGTTGTAATTTGTGAGTTATGAAAATGCTTTATACCAATGAGGTCTCTCACCTTCTTTAGGTAATGTGAGTTGATTGACACAAGATCTAGGGTGGTGGTTTCTGTATGATGATTTCTGAGATGTTGTAGGTAGGTAACCTTGAAACGGAAACTGTTTTTAAGAACCGGAAATCGTAGTCATCTACGGAACACAGATTTTCCGATATTTTCGGTAGTAGTTTTTATACAATGATAGTGCAATCTGTTAAATCCGAGACCGAAGTTGACTAGGAACAGTAATATTCAATATCGCCAGAGCCGCGGTGTAGGCATTTGCTGGACAAACAATTACATAATCATGCAATGGCAACAGTCTTATCATCAAGGACACTTAAAATGCAAGTCTGCAGATTTTCAATTGACATCATGCATGATTGTGAAGTCGGAACTTTTGAAACAAACCATATTGTGGAAGCAGCAACCTCCATATCTGCCACAAACAGAAAGTGGCCAACCAGCCCCTATCCTTGGCGATACAGACATCAAAATAAAGATTGGAGAACAGACGTATGGTAATCCCGTGCTGATTGCCAATATCACTGATGTTTACATTTACAGTTTTTGAATAACCAGCGGTACATTGTAGGTTTCGATCAAGGAGTTCTTAAATTTCTTGGCCAAAGAAGTGTTTCTAGAAGGTTCTGACCTTTGCAAACTATACTGTTTAAAGGACATTACACTTGAGCCAGCCAAGGTCAGAAAATCTAATAATTGCAAAATACCCACTTTACTTTAAGAAAGGGCTGCTTGCCATTGCAGATAATGTGGGACAACATTTAAAGTGTTATTATCTTTGATAAAGCATAAAATAAAACAGACAAGAATTTTGAATATCAATGAATGGTGCGAATTGAAGAAGTTCGCTTAAAAAGTATAGCATAATAGGTGAATACCAAGCACACCCAGTATCAGTTTCTTGGTGACCCAGTCACTTTCGCTCTCATCATTCTAATTAAAATCTCAATTTAAAAATTGTGTCCCATAATACTTCCTTCTATTCTAAATCCTTTTCCATTGAAGCTGTTCATCTCTGGAACTCCCTACTGCTGCACATTAGAAGTGCTCAATCTATCCTTCTCTCTCCTTGACATTGTTTATTTATAAATTACTACTTATTTTCCTTATGTTAAGTCTTTTATTTCACTTACCCCTTTCTGCTCTTGTTTATGTATTTCTATATTTTTGTAATTGAAATGTGTTTATTTATTATATTATGTAAATATGTATTTATCGAGTATATAATTATATTTATGTCGCATTTATTTTCTAAAAAATAACCTACCCTTACCCTTTCTCACAGTTCATTATATCCTCCGCAATGTTTCAATTTTTCAATTCAAAGCGATAAGGCCACAAATTGTACCTTTAAAATATCTATTGTTTTTTTCTCATATGTTTTTCTGGTGTATAATAAAGTATATTTCATTTATTCATTATCAGAGCTGCTGGAATTTCTTAAGAATAACTTAACATTTAATTTTCGCAAGCTAATATTTTTATAATAAAATTCAAGGACATTTACACCACTAATAGTAATTGTGGTAGAACTGGTACGGTACAGCGTAAAATAGATACAAATAATGCCAGACCTATAAAACGAAGTTATCGCCCGATCCCATGGGCAATGGAGGCTGAAGTCGCAGAGATGTTAAAGGATATGGGTGGTTCAGGATTATTTCAGCGAATGAATCAAAGTGTTCGCGACACCTAATCAAGTAGCTCAGACAAGGTAGTAATTTTAAGAAGTGATGTGTGTCGATATGGGCGTAGCTTTGGAAATATATTCCAATTAAGAGAGTCATTTGGAACCGGTTCTATTTTATGACATTCTTATCGGTGTACATAAAACACGTAGAACACCAGCTCATTCGCAGTCAGATGGAATGGTTCAATCAAACACTGGACAATAATCTGGCCAAAGTTGATGAGCATCAAAGAATTTGGATTTTTGTTGTCTTATGGGTCTGCTAGGCATGATACGACTAGTGCCACACCAGCCAAGGTGAATTCAGACAAAAATTTAGAAGTAATTTTGGATCTAGTAATAGAACCGACATTTTTATATTTATTTAAAAACACCCTAAGAAGCCTTTGTGTGGTAAGTTTTCAATATTTTCTTCTTGTACTACTGCGTAATCGATGAACTTTTTGTAATGCCAGCTGTGGTTAAACTGTCGTGCTAGAGTGTCTTAATTCTCTGAAGCGGGTTGAGTGCTGTCAAATCAATGATTGTTTCGTAAGAATATATCAGGTTCTGTGTTGTGGGTTGCCTTATTTTTATGATGAATTCATCATTTAAATCATTACCGCAATGTATTAATTGGTTATCGGTTACAATAATTTTACTTTGTGAGTTCTCATGATATTTACAGTTGTTGTTAAAGAAGGCTTTCCCTTAGTCACGTATCACTTGAAACTTTCAGTAATAAATAATTTACTGTTAGCTATTGCCCTAAGTAAGTGTAGAGTTTTCGGTGCTTGCCTCCTGAACAACATTCGTATCTGTTGACGTAGAAATCGGAAATCCTTACACAGGCTTAGAATGTCGGGCACTGCTATAGTATGTGCCAAATCGATTGAGAAAAACGGACCTTGAATAACCTTGAATGACCTTTCGGTCGTTTAACCAGGGGTTACAAACCTTCAATATATAGGCACATTTTATGTGTAGTACTTGGCCGACTTCTTTATTTATAAAGATTTTTTAATTATTTTTTATAATGATTGATATAATATATATATTCATTAACTATTATTAAAAATTATGTAAAAGATCGCTGTAAAAGAAAAATCATCTATTGTTATAAAGTACTTTATTCATTTAACAACAAAAAGCATTAATTTATAACACATATAAAGATTCGAGTGATAACGACACCGAATAAGTACGTACTTATTCAAAAGATAAAACTTTATTTTCAATATTATATAAGAACTTTATTTTTATTCGGTGCAATCATAGACCCAAAAAAGGTGACGCATCTCTGGCTGCCATTGTCACGTTTTTTTTTATAACGAACAGACGTAACGCGCGTTTTGTTTATTTTAAAGGGATGAATTTGCAAAAGCTCAATATGGTGATTATATTGCTTCAAATATATTTTTAATATGAATCTGTTATTAAATGAATTGCTGCGTTACTTACCATAAATTGAAATATAAAATATAACACAGTTTTCGCCATGTACCGTAAGATTTTACGATGTTTATAGGGGAACCACAGACAATATAATTTAAGAAACAAAAAACAAAACATATGTGCTGACCTAAAATTGTGGATAATATCAATATTTAAATATTGTTATCACATCTAAATTGAGACATTGTAAGTTACGCCTTTACGGTCATTGTCCGTTTTTCTCAATCGATTTGGCACATACTATAATATTGTTGATTAGATGGTGATATAAAACATCACTATACATTTAATTAACTAGATTAGCCTACAATTGAATCACCGATTAACGGGAGGTCTCACGTCATGTCGTGAAACGCTGCCATAGGGAAATATTTTTTATAGAAGAGAGGGCAAAGAAGCATGCGTCTCACCTAATGGTAAGTGTCGGCTGCCGCCCATGAACAACCGAAACTCTAGGCGAATTGTAAGTGCGTTGCCGTTCCTTGAAAAGAAGTAAGCTCGTTCTTGAAAGTCCCTAAGTCAAATCAGTTTGAATAAATCGCCGGGAGTTAACGATTCCATAAAGAAGTCTTGCGATGAAGAAAACTCCTAGTTAATCGCACGGGGGTGGACCGCAAGCATCCAGATTGTGTGGATGATGGTCATCCATCACAAGTTGTCAGTGAGCTTGTCGCGATGTGCGTTGGTAGAATTTGGCGTCTGGAATTAATTCGAACAATTTCTCTGTAATGTTATTAATTACTCTGTAATATAATGTTTTATGAAAGTCAGTTTCAATATAATAATATACAACCTGTAACAAAAACCCTGTGGTTCCCGTTAACTGCGTTATCAGAATCAGTATCCAAGCATATAGAAATATTTTTTTTTTCAAAAAGAAACATTTAAAAAAATTAATATTAATGAAAAAAAAATTTGCAAATTGTATGTGGTTTATTATCTCTGCATTGGCCGAGGAGTAAGACGATTGTCAAAGACCCCGCATTACCGATACTCGTGTGAGTTAGAGGAAATAAAACTACATATAATTTGCAAATTAATTTTTTTTTCAATAAAATTATTTTTTTAAATGTGTTTTTTTGAAAAAATAAATTCTATACGCTTGGATACTGATTCTGATAACACATTTAACGGGAACCACATGGTTTTTGTTACATGTTGTATATGTTAATACGAGTACTTAATAATAAACTGGGTTCCAACGGTACGTCCAGATTGTGTCTTGTGTATTGTTATTTTTTTGTGTCCAGTTTCAGTTGTTTCTTGCAGTAAATGCGCTGATTTGACACGATCGAGAGTTACTGAGATGGGTTTTCCTGTTAATCTTGAGTTTTAGCACTTTTTCGCCTCTTATAGAATATTGACAGATAAGTACACAGTCCATCTGATGGTAAGTGGGTGCTGTGGGTTATAGACATTTACATCTATTCTCGATTAAGAATCAAATACAGATGCGTTGTCAATCCTGAGGACTAAGATTGAATGCTTTCTTTTAAAGTTAAGAGAGTCTCCGGTTCTCTACACTCACAACACGTAACACACCAGCATTAAGTTGCTATTTTACGCTGGTATTCTGTGACAGCGTGGTCCTACCCAGGTCTAGTCGACCCATTCATTCAACAACCGTGATATAGCTGCAGCATGGCCACTATTTAGAAAAAAAATTTGGTTATATTTTCTTAAAGTATTATCATTAGAGTATGGGTAAGGAAATTCGCTAAAAAAATCGATAGACCTCAAGCAGCTAATCCACCCATAAAATTAAATGGTAATGGCTGTTCTAAGATAAGTCGGAAAATAAATTCAGTAGAACTACTGCTGTAAATATAACAGAACGCGAGTAACCCGGATTCGATCCCCGCCGGCACCAATGAAATTTTTTATTGCAATTTTAAGTGCTGATTTACCACGTGCTCGGCGGTGAAGGAAAACATCGTGAGGAAACCTGCATGTCTGAGGAATAAGAAAAAAAAAATATTTCGAAGACATGTGAACTACGCGGCGGACACTTCCTTGTCCTAAAACCCTCTCAGAAATTAGGGGAGGCCTGTGTCCAGCAGTGGGACGTATATAGGCAGTAACGTTACTTTTACGCTGTAGCGTATTGTGGCTAGCACGAATGGATTCACTTGACCAGGGAACCATGCTCGCACAGAATATTATCATAAAATAGCAACATAATGCTGTTATGTTTCGTATGGTGAATGACGTAAACCAGATAACTTTTTTATGCTTAATATAAGTGATTACACTGATTATATAAGGTTCTGACAGGTTAATCACTATGTTGAAGTTGTCCACATATATATATGTATTCACGAATTGTTACATTTTAGGTATCTGAATGGATGATTGATTATAACACACCTGGTGGCGTGGATAACGAAGGATGGCAATATGCAACTGATTTTCCAGCGCCATACCACGGAAAGAAAGTTTTCACGGACTGTGTTCGGCGACGGCGATGGTACAGAAAAGCTCAAATAAATACGGAAGGACCATGGATTCGCGCTGGAAATACAGGTTTACTTGATATTTCTGTTTGGGTGAGTGTGACTTGATAAAACTTTTATTTATTAATAAATCACATACAGACTACATACTTTAGAACTTTACAATATTCACATGATTTATACCTTAAAAAAGGTTGATAATTACGAAAAAATTTCATTGTAGAAAGGATAAATCCTTTTTGCCACTCTTGGCTGGCAGAATGGTGCGTGCAGTACCAAACTTATCGCACCTTTGATGCTGCTCTCTTCACTGGTCTGAGTATTGTACGTCTGGAGTAAACGGTCGCAAGGTATCTACCCCTTTTGTGGCATTTTCAATCAATCATCCCATTTTGTCATGCGAGTGCCGCAAGAGTTAACTATCGACAATGTCAGAAAAATTTTAAAACGCCTAAATGTCATTTTTCTCCGAAGAAAAACTTCCGAAAACTAAATAAAATTTTGATGAATCCAAATAGAGATAATATTCCAAGAAAACAAAAAGGAGCTGTTTGTGCCACGTTTAACTCATTTTCAATTACTTATACATAAATATTGTTTAAATTTTATTTTCTAATTTTTATTGGAATGACACTTCTGCCCATTTCGTGCTCCTGGTTTGTTATACTTTGTCGCCTCTTACGATACCCGCGAGACGATATCTGGTAGTGGATATCCCTACTGTGAAACTACAAGTCTGTCAAGCGGAAGCATCAATGGCAAAGATCCGCCTAATGGGAATCTATAGAGGGCGGATTGGGATAAGCTGTAATGAAACAATGAATAAATTAATTGTATTAATGGAGACAATATGTAGATGATCTACTTAAAAGAAAAGAAAGGAAAAAAGGAATGTTTTTAAACTTACTTAAAAGAAGAAGAAAAAAACAACACCGCCTTCCTGCTGTGTAAGTTATACATAACTCTTGGCAAAAACTTGAAAAGACAAAAAAAAGAAAGAATCTATAAACATTCATAACTCTTTACATTAGTAATTTATACGAACTACTATTGCTAAAATCCAATCTCGTTACTCGCACAGCAACTCACAGTGATACTAAGCTTATAGCTCTATACCTTATGCAGTAGGAGAATTAGACAAGCTACTTTTACGAAGAATTTTTGGTTTTATTTTCGAGAGTCCCAGCGTAAAATAGTAATGCTGCTGTGTTTCGTATGGTGAGTGTAGAGAACCGGAGACACTTTTTACTGGAAACGAGGCATTCCATCTTAGTCCTCACGGGTGACAACGCATCTGCATTTTGATTTGCAATCGAGGATAGATGTAAATGTCTACGGGCCGCAGCAACCACTTACCATCAGGTAGACTGTGTGCTCGTTTGTCACCCTATCCTATAAAAAAGAAGTAAAAATAGGTCTGAGAAGGGTCAGGGACTAGTTACCATCAAGTGACCTGCGAGCTCTTTACTCAAATTAATTAAATAAACAGAACACTATAGATATAGTTTGTTTTAGGGTAACGGAGAAGATGTTTCTGTGTGGGCAGTTACTGTTGGAGGTGATGCAATCTATAGAACTGGTATTACAGCTGCTTCTCCTGCGGTAAGCTGATAGCAAACTAATTAAGAGTTAGTGCCATATAAATATAAAATAAATCTAAATGTAATATCTATGACGATGATTGCCAGTATTTTTTTGTACATTTACCATATTTTAGCTGTTGTAGTTGACAAAAACAATGGCAAAAATAACTTATATACTACTACTTTGATTTTTTTTAAGAAGGAACTTTTGTCACATGACTTTGCAACCCACTTAACTGAATACACACATAGTTTATAAGTCAAAGTCACAGCCTATAGATACGTCGTACTGCTGGGCACAAGCCTCCCCTCATTTCTTCGAGAGGGTTTTAGGGCAATGAAATGTTCGCCCCGCTGCCCCTTATCGCATTGGCGAACTTCACATGTCTTCGAAATATTTTTTTTCTTACATGTGCAAGTTTACTTACGTTTTTCGTCACAGCCGAGCACGTGGTAAATCTGCATTAAAAATTGCAACTATAAATTTTATTGGACACACACACATTAATAGAAAATTTACTTTTGTTTATCAAGAACATAATTTTTACAATTTATAAAATATGATAACAGAAAATAAGATTATTGCAAATTGCATGATCATATTTGTAACTTTATAAAATAGTACCCGGTTGACCGAGCTTTGCTCGGTTTTTTTTAATTCGTGTGTTTTGGAAATTATATTTAGATACTTACAAATTACATACTGATGAAATACGAATAATAGTTTTTGATCTTAGCGACATAATAGAAAAAACTGAACTGGTTATTTGAATAAAAAATCATGAGTGCAATTAGTTTAATTTAAATTTTCGTGTTTTTAAAAAATACTAAAAAAAGGGCTCGAAAAAATAGATTTTCTCAAAAAAGAAAGGAAATTGAAAAAAAAAAATTAAAAAAGTCGGTCGGTCTGGGCTCGAACCATGGTATTACGATTTTGTGACCGCCCAATATACCAATTAAGCTATTTGTAATTATTAATAAACTGTCAAAATTTACCTTCTTATTCTTACGATATTGTAGCAGTTTTTCATTGCCTAAAAACACGGACAAAAAGACATTTTCTAAAAATAAATCCTAGCTAGATCAATTTATTGCCCCCGAAACTCCCTGCACACAACATTTTATGAAAATCGTTGGAGCCGTTTCCGAGATTCCAATTATATATATATATATTGGTGGAGCCACGTGTTTAAGGCTGCCGAAAATCTAATTCCCCGGTCAAACCTCAAACCTATTACGCGAGATATTAACTAAAGTGGACTGTATATGCGATTGCTTCTACGCTTACATAAGGCGACTACTATAGCATGCGGTACAATGCACTCGCTCTTCCCTAAACTAAACTATTACTTGTCGAATCGATGAAAGGAATCCTGCTTGACTAGGAAAAAAACACAGATTGGAGCGGGTTAAATTATTAGCAAGCAGGTATAATTAAGGAATATTGACTCACCGGGGTTTCTTCTTCCTGTCGATCACTATAGCGACTTCTGGAACACTCCGGAGAGAGGCGGTGCGCGACGATATCTCACACGAGGTGAGGCGGGTTCCTGGAGCTCGACTGCTTCCAGGCCAAAGCGGTTTCCACTAGTGAGGTGTTTCCAAACGAGCGCGCGGGAAGAGGAGGTTGTAGTTCAACGACGACTGCGGCGGGAGAAGAGGCTCGCGCATCGGTCGCGCGTGTCTTATATATCCTCGGCTCGGGTGATTACGCGATGTTCTAGAATCGTCTTCTTTCCCCTCCCACCCCACCACCCCGATGTGTCGATAGGAGGGTACGAATGATATTGTTTGGAAAGGAAATAATGATTCTACAAGTTCCTACCGTCAAAATAAAAAACGCGAATGGTTTTCCGCGCAACCATCTCCCCCCGCCCTTGAAGGATTTCCTTCAAAAAAAAATAACTAAACAACTAGAGCTAAGATCGACTAACAAATAACTAACTAACGCTAAGATTACCTAAATTAAACTACAATTTCAGTCTAGAAAGCTAATTTAAATTATGGAAGAGGCAAGGGGCACAAACGGATAACAGGACGTAGGTAAGACCCAACCGTGGTCTTAACGCGAGCTATCCTAATTACTCCGTCGGAACCGGGAAAGACCTCCTCGACGATTCCTAACGGCCAGTGGAGAGGCGGCGTATTCTCCTTAGTGAGCACAACTACGGTTCCTACAGCTAAAGGCTCTGTCGCTGTGTTCCATTTTTGCCGAGACTGCAAAGTATGCAAGTATTCCATCCTCCATCGTTTCCAAAACGATTGCACTAACCGATCTAATAATTTGTGGCGTGTGGAAATGCTAAGTCTGTTCTCATCCATATCCGCGGCGGGCAGATACCTTAGAGGCGTTAAAGTCAAAAAATGTGCTGGAGTTAGAGCCAGCGGTTCCGAGGGGTCACTAGATAACGTCCGACAAAGTGGGCGGCTATTCATTACGCATTCAATTTGAGCGAGCACCGTACTTAGCTCTTCGAAGGACAAAATTTGATCTCCTATTACTCGGTATAAGTGGCTCTTTAGACTTTTAATATTAGTCTCCCAATTGCCCCCAAAATGACTCGCGGCTGGGACGTTCAGAGACCACTCAATGCGGTTCTCGGCTAGAATGTGAGCGAACTCCGAATTATAATACTTGCTAGCTAAGAGCTCGTGTAGTTCCGATAGAATACGTTTTGCACCGACGTAGTTCGTACCGTTATCCGAATATAATTTACTTACAGGGCCTCTGCGCGATAGAAATCTTTTAAATGCACCCATAAAGCCTGTTGTGCTTAGATCACCAACGAGTTCTATATGCACTGCTCGAGTAGTTAGACATACGAAAATGCAGACGTAAGCCTTTGTGGATCTTATACCACGCCCGCGAGTGAGCGTGACCTTAAACGGACCAGCAAAATCAGACCCGGTGTGCGTGAAGGGCTTTACCGATTGTATCACTCTACAAGATCTAAGTTCCGCCATTTCCGGAAATGACGGCTTGGGGCGTGCCCGAAAGCAAGCTATACATCTGTGCACCCGATTGCGTATTAAACTACGTGCAGAAAGAATCCAATAATTCTGACGCAAGATCGACATCAATAAATCGGGGCCAGCGTGCGAGTTCAATTTATGATGATAATCGACTAATAAGTTCATGATATGGTCTTTACGCGGTAAAACTATAGGGTGCCGTTGGTCGAAACTCAATTGCGAGTTGGACAAGCGTCCACCTACCCTTACAATCCCATCCTGTAAAAATGGCTTAAGGCGTTGAAAGGCGCGACTACAAGCTCTATTCGATTGTAATCTTGTAATTTCTTCAGAGAAGTGCGCACGTTGAAGTTCACGTAATACTAGCGACTCGGCATAGTTGTAATCGGATGCTAAGACATACGGACGTCGCGGTAAAAGCTTCGCGAATCGACAAACGTAAATTACGCTACGCAATAATTTCGACCAAGAGGACAAGCGGTTCGCCAGAGCAATGATTGGAGAAACCTCGCTCGAAACGTTCGCCACTAGAGCGTGTCTCTTCTCTTCCGGCGGTTGTGACACTGACGAAGGTTCGAAATCGGTTATTGGCCATTGCGAGGGATCCAAGTAAACCCAAGAAGGTCCATGGAACCAAAGCGGGTGGTCCATTATTTGCATCGGGGTGAGTCCCCGGGATAGACAATCGGCAGGGTTTTCCTTACCGGACACGTGATAAAAGTTCCGCGTTTCTAACTCGTCTTGGATCTTGGCCACTCGGTTCGCGACAAACGTATCCCAACGGTGGGGTGAAGAATGAACCCAACATAAGGCGACGGTGGAGTCGGAAAAGGCAAATATTCTTTCTATGTGAACTCTATCCCTACATGCGCCGATAACTGTGGTAATAAGCTTGGTGAGTACTAATATTGCGCAAAGCTCTAAGCGCGCCAGAGAGACAACCTTACGGGGGGAGACTCTCGACTTAGAACTAATGAGGCTAATCGAATTTCTACCATTATTCTGGACATGGAAATATACAACGCCCCCGTAAGCCTTCTCGCTGGCGTCTGCAAATCCAACAACCGTTATGCTGCTATTTCTATCGACATTTATATGACGCGGTCGTAAGCTTCCTTTAACTGGGGCGAAGCGAGCATCCTACGCTCCAAGCTGTAGAAACGTTTTTCCGCCATTTGACGCGAATCGCCGAGAGATAAAACATCTCCCTTAAAGGGTAGCGCTACACTATATCTACCGTCGCGATCACGAACGGTCGTGCGGACGTAAATTTCCTCGCATATCCTGTCATCTGAACTAGCTATGGGTGGGACGTTCACCTCCTCCATCTCCCAAAATTTGCGGACTAACGACTCGAGCGGTTCGACAGCCATACCACCATAAGAGGCTGCCGAAATACTATCTAGGATGGGGGCGGAGCCAAGGATCACATAGCCCAATACGGTTTCCAGTGCGTAAGGCGCGGTATGCGAGGAGTTGCCCCTGACCTTATTGTTTAACAAAAGATGAGGGAAAAGCGATGCCCCAATGAGCATGTCTATGTTTCCAGGAACGGCGTAAGTGTCTTCTGCTAGAGTCAAATTTTTAAATTCAATCATTGCCGAGGTGTCAACCGAAACGGTTGGCAACCGTTCAGTGACCCTATCTACTACTAGTGCATTTATATCAAAGTTAACGTTACGATCTATCCGAGAATAAAATTTTAAATTTATATATCCCTGTGTCGCTTTACTAGTACCTCCGATGCCTTTAACTACAGGACATGAAAGTGACCTATTTATTACTAAGCCTAAGCGCTGACAACATTGTCGTGTTATAAAGCTATTTTGGGCTCCGCTGTCCAGCAGTGCACGGACGCTTTGTTTGTTTCCACGCGAATCCCTAACCAAAATACGCGCCGTACCCAGTAACACGGTTGAAGGAGGTTGTGCTCCCATATTTGCCAATGAGCACAGAGCGACATCACCAGGTCGACCGCTAGAATCGTTGACCTTAGTAGGGGTGAATTCCTTATTCGCCTTACTTGACGCCGCTATGTTGCTATTT